ATGGAAATAAAGAAGTTTAATCTTGTGATATCTCCCATCTTTCTTTTTTTGCCATATTTTTGTACTGTATAAATGTTGCATTAATTGTTTAGACACAAACAGAAAAGAGGTGTTAGGCCTTCAATGACATTTTAAAAATGTAGAGCTGAGGATTCTGGATTTAATTTTAGACAAGATGTGATTGGGTTCAGATCCAAGCCTTGGGTTAAGATAAAGGTTGGGATAATTGTTTGTTCAGTAAAATTTGGGACAAGTTAAATGTGGGTTGACCTAAACAAAGGTTTGGTTGCATAAGGGTTCAGTTTAATGAGGGTCTAATTAAATTAGGTATAAGTTAAATGAGTTTGAGATTAATGAGGTTGAGATGCATGGGGCTGAGTTGAATGTGGTCTGACTTGCATGTGGGTTGAGTTGGATGTGGGCTGACTTGCATGTGGGTCGAGTTGGAGGGGGTTGGCTTAAATGGGGTTGAGTTAAATAGGGTTGGCTAGCCATGGAACCCTACAAAACAGCTACCATTTAAGATACCATCAACCGTAAACAACAACATTTCAATAATAACAAAAACACACAAGACGGAAGTCTTATTTTCTACTACAGAAACTATATGTCATTTGTTCTAAAAAAATTAGTATTTTCAAAAACGTGAATCCAAAAAATACAGACGGTAGAGTAAATCTACGAATTTATTATCAAAATTCAAAAACGGCAAACCGGACAAAAAAGAACAATTGCTCGCCTCTCCAAAATTCAAACCTGGAAAAAATATATGAGTTTAAGTGCCCTCTTGACGGATGCACTCAACAGCCACACCCATATATTGGAGTAACAACTACATCCCTACCTCGTCACTTTACTAGACACAAATGAGAAGGAGCCATTAGAACTCACCTGGAAACAATACATCAAACGATCCCATCACGAGGGATATTAGTAAACATTACTAGTATAATATAAGGTAACAAGAATCACAGCCATCTAAAAATTGCTGAAGACAAAAAAAACCGCAAATCAACAAGCAGCAAAATATGGCAACTACCGACCAGATGAATATTATTGAAATACATTAAAAACAAAGAGAATGAACAGAACAAACATATAATAAATGGGCAAAACCAAGAACTTAATAAAGGAACAGGACAAAACAGAATAAAAACACCTTGCACAGGACAAGGCAAAATAAATGCACTTCGCATACACAGAGAATTGTAAAACCTTGAAATATTCCTATATAAGCGCTGATGATGAGTAAAATCGAAATATGGCCACGATGAACACCAAAGATTTTCTAATTAATTTAAATAAATTGGATGATAATTACAAAATTACTGTTAAAAATATCGAAAAGCTCAATTTTCAAAAGTTATAAATTCGGTATATTTCATCAGATATTATATATATATAAATATATATTTATTTATATATAAATATATATATATATATATATATATATAAATATATATATATATATATATATATATAATTATTTATATGCACAATTAATAAGTGCTTTAATTGTATTAATTTTTTAATAAAATATCTAACTTTACACCTTAATCTAGTATGAATTTGACTAAATTGTTGGCTTTAATCCTAAAATTATCAGCATCTTTTTTATATTTTTATACCATTAATTAACATTAGTGTTCATTTGCAGATTACAGAAAAACGGGAATAGCACTTTGCACAAGGAAGAAGTTTAAAAACGGTAACCACGGGAAGATGAAAGAGAAATATGATGACGAGGAAAATGATCAATTAAAGATTTGACATAATAAACAAGCAATTTATTTCAATTCAGGTAAAAAAATTAGCGTATATTTTAAATTTGATACAAAATTCATATTAATTAAATAATTAATAATATAATTAATTAATTAAATAAATGAATAATTGATAGAAACAAAGTTAAAAATTTACATCTCTCACTTATATATAATGATAAAAGGCTAAAAACGCTATTAGTTTATTGATATACATTTTTCCAGCATTGTTTTGAAATAATATAAGTTGTTTTTTCTAAATTAATTTTTATATTAAGGTTTCATGATAAAAATTGTTAAATCCAGATCATCTGTGCTAGATTCGACTTCTACGTTGTATGAAGATTCATTCTCAAACCTCTGCAAGTACTGTATGTTGTAGAAAAAAAATTATTATTAGGCAACTTACAATTACATTTTAATGAAAATGCGACCTATCACATAATCTAATTTAATCTAAGATTTTTTTTTTATAATTCATGAACATATTATTTAATTTCATTCTACAGATTATATATTGTAGAAAACTTTATTTAAAATTTTTTTGCTATTTATACAAAATATATGCAAAAAACAAAATGCAATGGCAGACAAGAGAGTGGGAGGATTTGGGAATGCAAATCCCTCCACCAGGTGCAAAAAAAATGATGAAAATGAATTTTTTTTTAAATATTTAATTAGATTATAGGTTAGGTTAAACTTTTTTGCTCCAAAATATTTCTTCCATTTTTAAAATATTTTTTCTCGTCAAAAAAACAACTATAAACATTAAATAATGATAATAAATGTAAAGTATTTAGACGCATGTGTTTGTTACGGCTAAATCTTCTGTAAATGATAATGCTTTCTTAATGAACCGCTTTAATAATTAAAAAATTGATTAGTTAATTAACTAATTAATTAATTAATTAATTAATACCAACATCATCAGTAACATTGATTCGTGTACCATCTTTCAATAAGTGAATTTTAAATTTACTGGTCCTCGTTGGAATCTGGCAAACGCTGATCAACTTTTCGATGAGTTCTTCGACAGAACATTCTTGTAAATTTATAGGTTGGTAGACGCCTTGGCAAGATATGTGAAAAAAAAAAATAATTCATCAATTTTATATCCGCTTTATTGATAAGTTTGCATGGCAGACAAATTATTTAGATAAACTAAACCAAAAAATTATTTATTGTAATATTTCATTTGGTAACCCTAACGCCTGATCGGTTTCTGGTACAGTTTTTCAATACCTTGTTCAGTATTTTTATCATTGTTTTTTTAACTTATTTATATAGAAAAAGTTTTTAACTACTTTTCTATTCATTTTATTTTATATGGAGAAAGCTTTTTTCGGTAATCCTTACTACTTTCAATGTAGTATGTTATGAAATATTGTTTGTATCTCATATATATCTATATTATTAATTTATTGGCTCCAAAGTATCACTTTTTGATGATCCATTATTTCTCTTTTAGTAGTTTCTTTGTTGGTAGCAAAGTTACTGCATTCTGTTGGAAATTTATTTCTCTTTGTTTAAGTAAAGTGTTTCTGCAATTTTATGCTGAAACGGATTTAGTACAATAGGATATAGTTGTGTTATTCTTGAGTATTTCTCTACTCTAGTAATTGCTGTTCCGTCGTTATCGATTAAATAATTTTTTATTGCAACTCTGTGCAGTTAATCTTTTTGTCTATGTAGTATGTCCGATATATTCTAAATTTCGGTGCCCGCACTCACCGACATTATATCGTCAAATAGATGGACTAGCTATGGGCTCACTATTTGGAGTACTATTTTCTAATTTTTATAAATGTACTATTGAAAATTAAGTGTCTAAAAAGTTTCGAAAATTAATTATATATTAACGATTCATTAGCTTCTATTAATTGGAACTGCATTTTTCCTATAAAGGACTCAAATTTGGCTTTTTCTTTATTAATCCACGTATCCAATGAACTTTTTCATTTTATATCGTTAAAAAATGAAAAAAGTTACCCTAGCTTACTAAAGGTCACTTACTTTCGTCTTATAATATAAATAAATTGCATTCTTCTATTTTTTAAAAATTGTACTGCTGATAACAAATTACTCTACACTAAATACACAAATATCTTTACTTGATTGAAACGGTTGGCAGAAAACGCTATATTGCTGATTAATTGGAGAAAAATAAAGATAATATTAAGCGAACATGAAAAGTCATCAATAACTTCATGAACAAAAACATCAACAATAAATACCCAAATTGCTTAAATGTTCATGATGAAGTTGTTGACAGCAAAAGTGGTATAAGCAACGCATTTAATAACTTCTTTTGTTTTTTTTCAAAGTCTAATAACTTTTGTCTCAATTTCCTTCTTCATTTTACTAAATACCTATTTGCTCCCATTTTTCAAATATTTTCTTTATAGATGTGGATAAATCAGAGGTCTCAAGAATAGTACACGCTTTGAAAAAGTCTACCACTCTGGCACAGACGACTCTTCAAATTTCCTGATCACACAAACTCTTGGTAATATACTAAAACCCTTAAATTATTGTTATTAATCTTTCTTTTCACTATAGTATATTTCTAAATTTCTTCCTCTGCATGAATCTGGTTTAACTAATGTTAAAAATAACTATAGACCCATCTCAATAAGTTTTACTTTTTTTTAAATTTTGGAAAAAACATTTATTCTCGTTTAACACACTTTTTAAAAAATCATTCTAGAATTTCTAATCGCCAATATAGCTTCAAGTCAAATAGTTCTACCGAATTAACTGTTTTAGACCTTAATCAATATTTACTTGAAAATCTTGAATCAAGTCTTATGCATTACAAATGCTTTTGATACTGTTAGGCATGATATTCTTCTTCTGGTTATTTAAATGATAGATTCCAGTTTGTCTCAACAAAAAATTAAAACTTTTCAACCCTGCCAATTAACCGCGGCGTTCACCACGATTCCATCCTTGGCCCACATTTTTCAATATTTTCATCAAGATCTTATTGCATCTTTTTCTAAATTAAAATTCATCCAGTGGTCCATCTATGGACAATGTTGTTCAAGTTTTCAACGAAGAATTAACAAAGATATATGTTTGAACCCACCCGGATATGCTCCATAATCTTAAATGGTAAACAGATGAAACAAGCTTCAATTATCTCGAAAGTCTTATTCCCTCAGGTTGTAAATGAAATATGGATATTAAAAGAAGGATAGCTATGGCGAAAGATGAATATTCTAAAATGTAAAACATTTTCACCAACAGTAAAATCAGAATATCAACAAAATTAAAACTGTTATGGTGTTACATTTTTTTTAGGCTAACTTACGGCTCTGAAAAATGGAAAAAAAAGAATTTACGCCACTGAGATGTTGTTTTTGAGAAGAATTATGAAAATTAGTTGGACCTCTCATACTTTGAATGAGGATGTATTAAAACAATTTGGTTATGGAAATAGGAAATTACTACAGGTAATCCCACTAGGGCAATTTCGTCCTTGCCACAGCTTTTAGTATTTTTGAAATTGTTAACGATGCCGATTATTTCTCTTTCCTCACAATCCAACAGAAAAAAGAATTAGATTGATAGATTCCCAAATACCCGGATATATCCTGTGAAGAGGAGTCACTTACGGATTCTGCAAAAAATTATTAAGTTTATTACAAACAACCTTTTTGTCAGTAATCAAGTCGTTAGTCGGTTAGTAAAATCGTCTTTAATGCGTAGTTTAGTACTATTATTATGTGGCTTGAGAGTTGTTTTAATCAAACTCCATAACTCTTTAGTGTTTGGTTTGTATAAGGCAAACTGAATATAGTAGTATATAAAATCCAAGCCACCACCCGATCTATTGACAGGATTTTTACATAAAAAGAATATCCAGGTAAAGAGATTAAAATAGAAATGTTGTTGTTTAACCAAGTTTCAGTTAGGCAAATTATTGTAAATTGAAATATTAAATTGAATATATTCAATTCAATAATAATTTATTTGGCAAAAAAAGCACAGGAGATCACGATACTTTTGTATACGCAGGACCATCTTAACTAAGTAGTGAAACTGATAGTATATTAATTATCCGATAAAATGATAATGCAAGTTCATGATATAAATAATAAAATATATAATATAATCAAGGATATATATATAATATAATATATATATATGTATATATATATATATATATATATAATATATATCTATGAATATAATACATAATAGTACACAATTAAAGAAAATAATTAGAACAAATTAACTGATAAATGTTAGCCTTAAATGATTCTAACGAGGGTACACTTTTAACATGAACCGGTATAGAAAAGGAAGAACAGAATAAATCAAAAAAATTGATCTGGGCTTAAATAAATAAAAATCAAGGTTATGTTTTAAACGTCTGGTACTATGGTTATTATATACAATGACTTGATTATAGAGGGAGTAACAATAATTTAATTTAAAAATTAAAAAAAGTGTTAATGAATAAATAATATGCAACTGTTTTATATTTAAAAAACCAGCTAAATTATAATATGAAATTATATGCTCAAATTTGTTCAAATCATATAATAATCGTAAAAATTTTTAGGTTCAAACTTAACAGATGAAGATTAGTGTTAGAACTGCACCCCCAGATAGCGAAAACAGTAAGTTAAAAAAGGCAATGTTAAAGAGTTATATAAAGTTATATACAATATGAACCTAGGAAATCTATGTTTTAAACGATATATTAATCCTAAATTTTTAGATATTTTCCCCGATATATACTTAATATGATTTCACCAATTTAAATTTTCAGAAATAACAACTCTCAAAAACTTAATAGCATTTACTTTTTTAATATTTCTATTATTTTGTTGTCTTTTATTTTGTTAAGCTAAATGTTTATCAGGTTATTCGTAAAACAGGCTATTACAATAATCAATTCGTGAGTGCACGAAGGCATGAACCAGAGTCTGCAACGTAGTAGTGTCAAGAAATCTACGTATTTGATTGAGCTTTCTTATTTGGTACATGCATTCAACGGAAAGCATTCTAATGTGATCTTTCATTGACAAATTGGAATCTAGAATAAATCCCAGACTAGTAGCTTTTTGGCAAAACGGGATGACACTGTTTTTGATAATGATTGAATCAGTTTCTAGCTTCAAAAGCTGTTGCCACGTACCTACCGGCAAAAGTTTCGTTTTACTCTGATTCAATTTAAGAGCATTGTTTTGCATCCACAAATCAACCTTTGATAAACATTCAACCAATCTGTCCAATTCGGCCCGGAAAGTACCAAGCTTACTGGTAACAATGATTTGTATGTCATCCGCAAATGCATGATATGAGAAACCAAATGATTCGACCACTTTGAATACTTCAGATGTATACAGAAGAAACATGACAGGACCCAGAACCGAACCATGGGGCACACCAGACAAAACTATATTGACCTCGGACACTTTACCACCAAATGATACTTGCTGAGTTCTACCAACCAAATACGATTCAAACCACCTTAACACAGCACCAGAAAATCCAAAAGTAACACACAATCTCTTTAAAAGTATTTTGTGATTTACACAATCGAATGCGGATGACATATCGTGGAACACCATCATAGACGTCTTCTGTTGATCGATAGCCCCATAGACATCAGACAGAACCTTTAATAGAGCCGTTTCAGTTGAGTGGTATTGTCTGAAACCTGATTGATAAATCGGCATTAAATGATTATTCTATAGGTGAGTGAGTATCTGTTTAACAACCACACGTTCAATTATTTTAGATATGAAAGACAGATTGGATATCGGTCTATAGTTTTCAACATTATTCTCATCAAGATTGTGTTTTTTTAGTAGTGGAGTTATTATAGCATGTTTGCAAACAGAGAGAAATTTACTTTGATTTAAACACATATTGACAAGGCATGTCAAAAATGGCAAAAATAGATTAATAAACTTTTTGAACATGTGAGTCGGTATTGCATCTTGTTGAGAAGACTTTGTTGGTAAATTTTTAACTATGTTGATCATATCTTCCTCAGAAACATCTGAAAATGTTGCGAACAAATTTTTGAGATTTGATCTGCAGTCAGACGAGTTAGACCAAACTTTGATTTCGATGCTGTCTATCACCTTACTCAGTTTGTCGTTGAAGAAGGACATAAATCGATCCGGCGTGAGTTCATGCGTACTAGAAGAATGATTGTAATCATAAACAACATTAAACTTTGTAGAAATCGACCTTATATTTAATAGAACCAGATTTAATTCAACCTCATTAGAACCAGCAGATATATCAAAACCAAAACCTTCACCACTACTACCACCACCCATCACACTCCTAAAAGCAGCCCAGCCACAACCCAATCCATAAAAATTTACTTTTTTCCAACCGGGAATCTTACAATCTTCTATCTTCCCGGAGAACCGCGAACCTTGAATAAAAAATCTTTATTAGCAGCTTCCTGCATCTTAGCATCATCTAGCAAAATTTTCAATTCACCTCTCTGTTTTTTAGTCAAGTCATGACTAATGCCAATTCGACCAAATTGATCAACCAGAGCTCTTAACAGCGATATTGTCCAACATGATAAGCAAAGGTCTCGACGTGCCATCAGTTTTTTTACCCAATCTCACAATTTTTAGAACATTTTTATCAGACATGGCGTCATCCGTTAAATGATTCAAAATTTTGAAAACTCGCTCTTTATCGTTGACACCTTCCGGCAGTCGAAATAACATTATATTTGTTTCTCTATCTTTCACATCGGACGCTTCAATCAAAGTTTTATGTACATTTTTAACTTCGGCATTAAGAACGTCAACGTTCTTTTTGACTTCTTGACTAACAACCGAAGCAAAAGTTGACTTTACATCATGTTTTAATGACTGCATTTTGTCATTCAAATCTGACTCCGAACCACCAAGTTTATTTAACATGGCTCGCTTGAATTAATGGCAGTTTTTATAATTTCCATATCTGACTTTATTGCAATATTCAAGTCATTCAATTTATCAATTTTTTTTGACAATTCATTTGCTTTGGACAACAACATGACATTTGATGTAGTCTTGATGCATATGTCACAAAACCATTTAACATTGCTGCTTGTACGTATAAAAGTAACGACATTATCCGGTATTGCTGTACAAGTTGAATGATAAATAGATTCACATTGGCAACATTGCAAACATAAACTATCTTTCGCAGACTTTGTACATTAAGTACAATTTTCACGTGTATCCATTGCTTTATGAAAAACAAAAAACTTATCTCCTAAGTCGACTAAACAAACAACACATGATTAAAAAATTAACTCAAATTTGCAACAAAATAACGAAATAACCACTTTTACAATTTAAATTAAACAAAATTAAATTAAGCAATTATCCTAAAGCAACTATTTATATATATATACATATATATATATATATATTATATATATATATATATATATATATATATATATATATATATATATATATGTTGGTAATAGACCATAATTTTTACAATATTCTATAAATTCTACCGAATGTTTGGCGTTAATATGTTTGTAGTTCGTTTCTTCAATTTTTTTCACTAAAGTTTTTTGGTGAACGTTTAGTTTATTAAAATTCAAAATAAACTTATTTTCCGAATTCATGCTGCAAATAAGGCTATATTTCGATTCCGAATGAATCATCATCATTCATTCATTCATTCATTCATTCAATATCCATGTTAACAAAGGCCTGTCCATTCGGTACATGTCCAGACTGTCCACCAGCATGGTTTCTACAAATCATCGCCCCATTCATCTCCAGCACCTTAAGTTCACTCTACAATCACTGCTTCATGCATTCATTCATCCCATCACAAAGGAAATTCAGCACAATTCATCCAATTCCTAAAACAAAATATATTATTGCCCAATATCTTCAACCCTATACTTTCACGTATTCTAGAAAAATTCATCGTTAGGTCATTCATCTATCCATGTTTCAACCATCCATCCATCAAACCACTATTACAAGATCAGTTTGCATTTCGCCCTACAGGTTCATCTACATCCGCCATCATCTCTCTTACTTCCGCAATAACATCTTTTCTTAAAAATAATAATTATGCTCATCTTAATGCTCTCGACTTTTCTAAAGCTTTTAACACTCTCAATCACTTCTTTCTCACTTTTAAATAGGTTAGCCTCTCTTCCTCTTACCGACAACACTTACAATATTATAATAAATTTTATTTCTAATAGGAGTCATTCCATTTTCTTTAGCTCTACTTTTTCATCCACTTTACCTATTAATTCTAGCGTAGTGTCATTGGACCATCTACCTTTATCATCAATGCTTTTATTCTGAAAACTTTTTATAGCTCTTATCTCATCATCAAATAGGCTGACGACACCTACCTTATCATCTAACTCAAACACCATTCAATCAGAACTCGACTCCTTAACTACGTGGTCAAAACGATGCAATCTGTCAATTAATCTCAATAAATCATTCGAACTCATCATTCACAATAGCGTAAGAAAATAACATTACCTCCAGAACACCTATCAATCACTCGCACAAGTCAATTAAAACTATTAGGCATCGCATTCACCTCCACACTTAATATAGCACCTCATATCTATCACATCATCACAAAATGCTTTCAAACATTTCACGCACTCAAAACACTCCCTTCACATAGTCTCAGAGGCATCAAATTATTCGACATCACTGAATCACTCATAATCTCACGCATCAATATGCAGCTCCCTCCTGGTCTGGTTTTGCTACACAACAACAACTTCAGCAACTACAATCTCTCATCAAAAAACTAATCCGCTTCAACTATTTTCCTTGGTCACATCCTACCGTCACTCAGATATTCAACAAGAAAGTAGAAAATAACAACTATCACCCCAAATAAAAACTACAACACACACAACCTTTGACAACGCAAACATAACCATCAAGTCGCCACCCAATCTACATATCAGGAAAAGACTTTAATCACAAGACACCTCAAACATATTAACACTCAATAAAACTTTATCATTCACACAACTAGTTTTTATTTGTCAATTTATTTTATTTTCTTTTATTTATATTAATATTTATTATTCATTTTATTTTATTTTATTCTATTTTATTTTTCATGTTTAAGCATTTTTCTTTCTCAATTTATTTATTTACTTATTCGTTTAATTTTGTACTACTGCTTTGCATGCTGTAACAGTTTCTGCGTCTGTCAGATCCTGATTTTTAAAGAATATGAAGTAGGTGAAGTAATTGAATGGAAAGGTGAAGAAGTAATGGAAGCAAGTGATGAAGAAGATGTTAGAACTGTTACAACTTTTATTGACAAAAAACGAACATTCAACAAGTTGTTGTTGAATGAAGTTTGCATTTGGGATTAATGAAAACGGACAATTAGTCTACAAATAAACATGGAATTCATATGCATGTTGCACTTGTAGAGTTGAAAATATATTACGAACATTGATTTAGATCGGTGTTTACAATTCCAAAAATAAATCAATTATTGAGTTGTGAAACTTAATATAATATAATATCCAAAAACAGGTTTCAAAAAATTTCGAGAGCGATGAAATTTGATAGTGAAAACACAAAATTCCAAAAACTTGCAACCCATAAGAAATATTTGAGTTTCAGAACCCCAGCTTAAAAAAAGTGGTATACCATTTAGGATTGTGTGACTGTAGGTGAGCAGTTGGTAGCAATTAGTGGTAGGAGTCCATATAGGCAATAATAACTCTAAACCAAGGTAAGATGGCATTAAATTTTGGGTTATATATGATAGTAACTCTTATTGTTGTTGGAAAACAAAAATATGTGTATATTTATGATAAGAACAAAGTTAAATGAGAGAAAAAAAATCAATCTTGCAGAGTTGTTCTGGATTGGTGCAAGATTTGCAAGAATCATTGAAAATTTTTGCTAGCGTGCCACTAAATAACAAAAAAAATCTTTTTTGAATATGGGTATTTGTTAAAATAAACATATATTAATGTTTCTGGATAAGTTATTTAATGCAAAACTGAATTGGGTCCAACAGACCCCAATGGTAATTAATGCTATAAAAAAATGCTGGTATTTTTAAGATTAAAAAAAGAATTACGGCCGAAGTTTACTAAAAAATTAAAATATCTTATTTGTGTGTTTTTAAATAAAAAAAATGAGATTGGAAACATTATTATGTCACTGTTCATGTTTTAATAAATAATAATTATTTCTAATAATAAAAAACTGTTAAACCGAATTAATTTTCATCCGATTTTAAATCAGACTTAAGTTTTTCTATTTACTAAATCTTCATAACATTTAATTATGGTTACTTACTTGTCACTTCCCAGCCATCGACCATCAACTCTTCTAGCTGTTTACTCTTTTTAGGGGCGACTATCAGCAGTTGCCATTGAGACGGTCGTTTGTCGCCGCATCTGTTATTGATAAATTTAAAAATGACAGCATTTAATCAATTTTAAAACCAACGTAAAATAAACTTGTTTCACATAAATCATACATTTAAATTAGCTTTAAATTAAACCATTTTAAACCTTTAATATTAAATGCAGGCACTAGAAAACTTTTTTGAGGAGGGACTGCGAAAACGTATCCTCGACGCAAAAGAAGTAAAGTCACTTTTGATAAACCGCCTAAGTGACGTTTTGATAAACAAAGGTAACGATCCTGATTTTCTGTATCTTATGGAAGAAATAATTAGAAAATTGGATCAACAGAGAGTCGAACTACGAACAGCCACTAAAGGAACAGCACCAAATGAAGTAAAACGCGTCCAAGTGACAATCGAGAACAATACGGAAATTAAATTCGAGATCAACCGGAGGAGCGTGAAATGTAGCCTACCTATCCGAACTAGCAACAGCTGTACAAATCTTAACATCATCTCATCAGCTGATTCAACTACTGGCATTCAAATAAACATTTTAGACAAGTCTGTGTTTGAAGCAGTTGTGCCTATCTATCAAAAATCGGTAAAACTACTGTAGAAAGAATAACTTGACAATGGTGCAATATTTAATATTTTGTTAGGCTAATTTTTGTAGCATTTATATTTTTACGGATTTAATAAGATTTTCCAGATAAACTTAGATATAAACTTGTAAGATTCATATGAAATTAATAGCATAAATATTTAAACATATTCTATTAAAATTTTCAGATCAATTTCTCATTAAAAATAATGTTTTTAATAACAAGCCATGTAATAACATTATCCCGTTTTTAAATAACTTCATTTTTTCTCACATTACCTCAAAACTGGTAGAAAAGCTTTTGTAGCATCAGTTTTAACGTTGTTGTCATTTTCATCATAATTTGTTGAATTCTTCACTTTTTTGAGTGTTTCCTTTTCCGGTTCATTGCTCTGTTGAGTTGGTAAATAAAAATGTTGATAATCGAATATTTCTTATGGGGTTCTTGCGTTAAATTTAGATGGTAAATATGTAAAAATTGTTTCACCTGATTTTCTTCAATGTGCTGATTTTGAGGTTGTTTTTTTGAATATCGCTTTTTATGCGTTTGATTGTTTTGAAAATGCTGAGAAAGATACATGTTATCAATATTATGCGCGAGATTGCTGAAGGAACCGTTAGAAACAGTTGAGGACGTAACGTTGTTAGGAGAGTCCGGAGCCACAATATCCGAAGACATCCATCTACGCAACAATACTTTACCTGGTTAACAGTTGAAAGAGTTATTCCGTTCGCAATCATTCGATAAGTTTTTTCAACTTTGAATAAAGTAAACAAACTTTCATGATCCGAAAAATTTTTCGGACTGACGAAAAGCAATAGTTTTGTTGTTTTCATTCTGCAAACGCAATTTGTGTTTTTAAATGAAAGATAAGCTTTTGGTGGTGATCATTAAAAAGCGAGTATATATTTTAAAAACGTTTCCGATTGAGCAAAGAGCACTTCAAAAATCAAAATACGTTGTACAATAATAATAACTTATTTACAATAATTTTTCCATCCGAACAAACTCTAGATAAACCTCACTTAACCCTTTTATGAAATAGCACATTGGAATCATTATGCAAAAATGCTTGCCTTAACTGCTTAACAAACCCTTTTACAAGTGCGTTGAAAATTCGTATCCCTTCAGCTACTCCACAAATAATTTTCAGATCATCACGACTCAACCTGTACATGTCCTCACCTATTGAAGGGTAACAAAACAAAATATTTCAAATTAAATCTAATAAACTCATATTGAAGTAATGTTATTGGTGCAAATAAAATCTTGCCAGTTGTGGTTGCATAACGATCAAATGTTCGAAATTGTGTTTTGCAACGTCCAATGATGCATTTGCATATAAATTTTTTTTGAAAGAATAAGGTAGTCTGAGGTTGTCTGTCAAAACGGTAGTACAGTTTTAAAAAAGAAATTATTGCAGCAATAAAACAAAACAACAATATTGTCAAACATTATAAATTAAATAATTTTATGTAAATATTTGTAGTGTTTAAACATTGCTCCAGTTTGAAAAATTTTCACCGATACCAACTTTTTGCCGTGTATTTTATAACCAGTTAGAAATCCACTTATGTGTGTTTTCAGTGATTCCACTTGCGTCTAATTTTAAGGCCAAATTTCTTTGCGGTACCTTATCAAAAGCCTTAGCAAAATTTAAGAACATAATATTTCTTTTTGTCCAAATTTTCATAAAAATCATGCAAAATTGTTAGGCACTAAGGCCTCTCCATAAATCCATGTTGGCTTTTGTATATGATAATATTTTTTGCCAAGTAGTTAACAATTATCTTCTTAATTATTCTTTTGAGTATTTTGCATACGGTGCATGTTAAGCTAATTGGTCTATAATTTCCTGGGTCGCAACGATTTCTTTACTTGAAGAGTGGCGTTCTGATTGCATCTTTCCAATCTGATGGTATTTCACACGTTGCTAACAATTTATTGAATAGTGTTAACAGTTGTTCATATTTTTCAGAAATTCTGGATTGAGGGCGTCGCTTCCGGGGCTTTTATCTTCTTTTAGTCTTTGCAGTTTATCGACTATCTGTTGTTTCGTAATTGTCACATCATCTAAGACAATCATTTCATTTCCAATGAATTTACTGATTAGTTTTGGCAAAAATGTACAAATCTCCCTTGTAAATACAGAACTAAAATAAGAGTTAAATATATCTGACATTTTTTGTTGGTCAACAGTAACGATACCATTCTCAGTTTGAAAGAGTCCTATCCTGTCGTTGTATTTTTACCTACTTCACACGTAGCTGAACAAAATTTTTACTGATAATTTTGATGTTATTTGTTAATTTTTCCTATTATGTTATGTTTGTATTTGTTTTCTAGCTGCTGCATTCAAATAGATTCTTTTGAATTAGCTGCCCTATTACATTTATGGTTTTTAAACTCATGATAAACCTCCCATCCTTGTATTGAGCTCGTCTTTTCTTCTGTACTTTTTCTGTTATCCAAGGCCGTTTTTTTATTGATTTTTATACTTCGGAACATATTCTGAAACCAACTTATTTATCGCTTTCTTTTTCCACATATAGAGCTAACTCATCCCTTTTGTCGATACTTACCAAATTTTTGACGTTAGCATAAAAAATTTTCAAATGTGTTTAAATGTTCTTCAATTGCTTATCCTCCCATTAAATTATAAAATTTTTTTTTCAATTTGAGAATTTTCATTTTGCCTGGTAGGCCTCGTACCCGATATATCCATTTCTGTCTGTCCTGTTTCGCGCTCAGTTTTTGTCATAGAATGGGTAATTGAAATCTTGAAGAATTTTTTCTTTGCAAATACATTATTGCATTTTTTGCTGCTCTATCCCTAAATTTTACCAAAAGTAATCTGTTCCCTGTTTTTTCCTTCCCCAGTCTAAAAACTTTCTTTATGTCTTTTTCATCGTATGTAACTTTCAATGACACTTCCACCAGTTCAAAAACCATTTTTAGTCGTCTATTCTTTTTTACTCATCATTTGTATCATTACTCTCTTAAAGTTTGTAAACAATAATAATGTTACGTTAAATATAACGTTCCCTTTCTTTTTTTAGGTCATAAAAACTTTTTGGATTTAGTTAGGTTACTAACTTCATTTTATCTTGGACGACCTTCTTCAGTTTCAGATGTAAAGGAGCATGTGACTGTAATAGTGTTCCAGACAGTAATCAAAAAAATTTACGTCGTCCAAGATAAAATGAAGTTTTTATTATCTAGAAAAAGAAAGGGAACGTCGGGAAATGATGAGCAAAAAAGAATAGACGACAAAAATGGTGTTTGAACTGGTGAAAGTTTAATTTAATGTTTTGTTTTGATCACCACAATTTTGTTTTTAATTTGAAATTTTCTCTCATAATGTTATTCATCAAGTTTTCGATTTTTGCTAATTTAGTGTTAGTATCAATCAAAGTAGCCAAGATTTCTTTAATTTTCCTGCAGTTATAACGCTCCGTGTGCACCATCCCGCAATTCTCGCACTTTTTAATCTTATAGATTAAATTTCGACATTATCTTTTTAGTCTATTTATTTTATGAATTTAATCAATAAACCAAATAAACTAATGGATTTATTGCTAGAAATTAGTAATTAAAAGATTTAATTGTAAATTTTGAATATCGCTCAGTCAGATGTTAGGTTTCCGCTACGCCAAGGCTAAACTTTTTTTTCATTGCAACAAATAAACGTTATGTGAAATTGGTGAATAAAGGAGCTCAAATATTTTTGAAAAAATGAAACGTTAAATAATCGTGATATCGATTTAAACGAAGTGGTAGAAAGTCAAATTTATAGCTCTAGAATAAGCATAAAAGGCTTTAATTTAAAAAACTGCTGCAAAGTAGCACAAGGTGTTAACAATAAAAGTTATAAAAAATATTGAAGTTTACTTACTTACCATTGTAAAACTTAAATTGATTGATAAGATCATCGCCACAGTTTTGTGATTTGAGCCAGTCAGTTACTTCTTCGGATGTTGCCCCGACTGACAAATTTGATGAGGATAGCTGAAATATATTAAATTGTAAATTTGTCAAACAAATTTTAAATATATAATTTTTTATAGATTACAAATTAAGCATTACTTTGACATTTTCTCCATTTTTTCGAATGATGTTCTTAATTGCTAGTGGTGACGATCTACTAGAAGATGGCGAAAGCTGAAAAGATGACGGCGTTGAAGCAGCTGAATTAAAATTTTTGTTATCGTCTTTTTCAAATGATTTTTCAATGTCGATGTAATTTTGGTTGCTGTTTAAACCGTCTTTGATGTTGGTGTAATTAATAAAATTGAATGTCCTATCCGTTGATGGGCTACTTCGTTGATCGAAAAATTTCTGTTTTATATTCAATCTGAAATTATTTTTGATAGTTTTATTATTATCATGTTATTCTTATTATATTATTATTAGTCTAAATAATATTAACATAAAATTAAGTGTCAATATTCGTCAAATGTTAGTAGCTAAAATTAACATAATAAATGTGTCTTGAGTAACGTTTAATCAGCTGATAATAACACACACTTGATAATCTTCATAAAAAGTTTGATATTGTTTTCTTAACATATAATCTGAAGGCAGATTATTCCATAATGATACCTCCTCAGAAAAAAATAGAAGATTTAGAATTATTTAACCTAGAAAATGGTTTATAAAAGATATAATTTTTCCTTAAATTTTTGATTTTGTCATATCTAATAAAAAATTTCAATATTTTAATTGGTAATGAATGTTTATAAATTTTATACATAAATTTTAACGCTATTAATTTGTAGAGTCAGCAAGTTGCTATCTTTAAAATAGCATGTGACGTGCGAGCGCTTTCGTAGCATTAAAGACAGCGTATATAATAGTTGTATGATGATCAAAATGTGAATTAACACTATTACCCCACAATATCAGTCCGTAAATTAAGTATGGAAAAATCAAACCGTAATATAACTTTTTAACAATATCAAAAGAAAATCTAAATCTAATTTTAAATATTAAGCCTGTAATTCTAGAAATTTTACTGGAATCATATAAAATGTGGTTTAACCAAGTAAAATTATCCTAGGTTACAAATCCTAAAAATTTGTTAATATAAACTCGTTCAAAATTATGATTATTTATAAGGATATCTGCATTCATTCTATTAGTGGCTATTTTAAGTCCAAATATCATGAACTTAGTTTTATTATAATTGATGGATAAATGGTTAGCGCATAACCATTTATAAGTTAACTCTTAAGATGCTTGTTTAATTTAATAGCAATATCATTAATGTTTTTACCACTGCAGAGAATTGTCGTATCATCCGCAAAAGGAACAGTTTTTATTGATTTTTAAACGTTGGGCAAGTAATTAATAAAGATCAAAAACAACAATGGGCCAAGCACCGATCCCTGGGGCATTCTCCACTTAACAATGGCTTTTGAAGAATTACAAGACTCATATGACACATACTGACACCAATCATGGAGCTAGTCAGCAAACAAGTCAAAAATAGAACCACGAATTCCAATTTTAAACAGCTTTTTAAATAAAATACCATGGTCTATTGAATCAAAGGCTTTCCTCAGATCCACAAATAACCCAACAGTTATTAGTTTTTTCTCCATATTTTGTAAAATAATGATTAATATCCAAAAGAACCAATTCCGTAAACTGGCCCTCCATGAATCCGTAATGCGAATTTTAAAAAATTGTATACTATCAAGGTAATGACGAATGTTTGTCGACACAATTTTTTCCAGAACCTTGGATATAGAAGAAATCAACGATATCGGTCTATAGTTAGAAGAAGAATTACGCTCACCACTTTCATAAATAGGGACAACCTTAGCTATTTTAAAACTCCGTGGGAAAACTGCAAGCCTACAAGACGCGTTGAAAATATAATTTAATAGTTTCAATACATTATAAATGGTATTCTTCACCATAAATGAGGAGATACCATCATGGCCACACGACTGAAAGTTTTTCAAACTAAAAACATGTTTGACAATTCCAATGTAGCTTATGTCGTCAAAATAAATGGAATTACTGATCGTATTCATAGTAAACAACGAGTTAGTATCATTGTATTTAATGAAATTATCATCATCAGCGACACAAGAAGCAAAATATTTATTAAACGCTTCTCATATCGCAGATGGCTCATTTATTGTTATGCCATCGTGGAGTAATTCAGTTACGATATGCTTGTCCGTGCGAGCAATTAAATTATTGATTGTTTTCCAAATAATTTCTGTATTTTGTTTATTATTTTCAAAAATATCGTTATAATATTTTTTCAGAAAATTTTATTAATGCATGTAATTTATTTCTATAATTTTTATAGATTGAGTAATTGCTATCATTAGGATTTTTAAGTAACGTGAGTACAGTTTAGATTTAATTTTAAATGACTTTAAAACTCTTTAAGTCAACCAAGTACTCTTTATTCAACAAGGTCTTAATGCACGTTTTGGACAGGTTTTTAAAATTGCTTCATTATAAATATTCAAAATGTTTTCTGTGTAGTCATTTAAACCAAGAGTTAAACATTTCCCAATCAACATTAGCTAAATAATTATTTAAGTTCAAAAGATTTATCTGTTTTAATCTAGGTACATATGTACTTTTGAAGAAACATTTGCATGCCTATTGGAGGAAAGAGCAAATATTGGGAGATGATCAGACAAGTCCGCATAAATGGCACCCGATTCATGGCTTTCAAAAGTATTGGAAAAAATGTTATCAATGAGCGTGGAAGTTGAATTAGTAATAAGGGTTGGTGACTTTATAAGTGGAACAAATGAGTACGATTCTAGAAATGTCTGTAAGCCATGTTTGGATTTATTGCAATCGTCATTTAAAAGATTGATGTTAAAATCCCCTACTAAGTAAATTCTGTTTTTGTGAGAACCAATTTTACATAGCGAACAATTTAATTTATTAATAAAAAAATTTATGTCAGTATTTAAGGGCGATATGTGGAGTAAATTACTACACTTTCGTTTTTATTAGCAACACAATTAATCTCAATTGCAAACCATTCAAAAATCTCATTCTTACTGCATAAATTGTTACGAACTATATACATAATATCTTTTTGCATTTCTATGCCGGTAACTCAACCAGTTTTAGAAATTGTATTACTATATTCAAAATTAAATCCTTCTAATTTTATTAGACCCGCAGAATCGTTGTTTAACCACGTTTCGGTTATGGAAATTACCTTCCGATTATTTATACCTGATATAAGACAACTAATGTCATTTAACTCACGTGGTACATCAGTAATTGAATAATAATTAGATAATGAATTGTGAAAAAATAAAGTAAATGATTCAGGATCAGAGTCAGGAACCATCAAATTGGTTCCCAAAAAATTTATTGCTCTCCATTGCTGATGGAGATAGGTTCATCATCGGCATTCAGTGTATGGTGCTCGTCATTGCAGATACCTCCGCCATCAACATCATCGACCACTTCGTCATCACAGCCAACAATTTTACCACTGTCTAAAACGTCATCGTTATTATTGCAAACATTGATGAATTCTATTACATTAGCGATATCACCGTTGTCAATTACATTCTTATTGTTAGTAGTTTAAAGCTGTTGAATTTTGGGTTTAGAGAAATCATTAAAAACCCACTTCCAAATTAAAACTCCATTAGGCCAGATATCTGGATTGCTGAACTTGTCAATATCATTGACATTAATTATTATAGCCTTGAACGACGTAGGCATCACATTTTCAGTCAATGGTTTTGGCATCCGATTATCAACAAAATGTTTGAATAAAGAGTAACGTCCTAGCACGCTGATGTTGTGTAATTTTAGGTGATCTACTACATTTTTCGACATGCATCTTTTGATGTTGCCAATATGAAAAACTGTTTCTTTTTTAACTGCTGACTTGTTACATTGTATCAACCCATTATCACTAGTATCTCTACCCTTATTAGTTTTACGGAAAGCTTGTTGATTTCAAGAAGCCACTTTTAATTTTTTGAATAGACTTGTAACAAGTTTATAACCATCAGTGTCACATCATTATTTAAGACGCCAGGTTCAGATTGGCAAAAACGCTGAAGCTGAGATTTATTATTAATATTGCTGTTATTTAGACCTTTCAAAAAATGTTGCTGAGTCACCGCTAATGAGCTCTTTAAACTCACAATAAATGCAAATAAATAGTAAGAAAAACATTTATCCAGCAATAACTGATTATCAACAGAGTTAATGTTATTTATTACAAAAAATAATAAATCAATTATAACAATGGTTTTATCAGTACAATGTATTAGACGCCATACAACTTTAGCATGCACAACGGCATGCACTTATTAAGTGGATACTATTAGAAAACATTGGCCAATAATTTAGAATAACAACTGGGAATATATTAAATTTACCAAATTAAATTCAAACAAATACAAATTATAAAAAATTAATGAAAGAAAATAACAAAAATTTATTCTCCACAATTAAAACTGTTGAATGAAACCAAAATTAAACGCAAAATTCAACTTTAAACTAATTAATCTAAGAAACCTACGGAAAATAAAAGATTTTAATATATTTATTTTTAAAATTGTTTATAAAAATATTTATGTAACCATGATTAAAAAGCATTAAATTTTTAATACGCAAAAATATTTTTATGAATATTTTAATTGAAAATATTAATAATGTACTTGTCAATTTGTTTTGCCTTTCTTACGCTGTCAGTTTCCTTATTATTACAATCAAGATCTTTTGTTGGGTCCGTTTCAGCAGCTGTGATATATTGGCTTGGTTGATTTATAATCAAATTGGTACTTTCTACGTCTTTATCAACGTTGTCGTTTGAAACTTTTGCTAGTGGAAGCTGTAAAACATATTAATTTGATTTATTATTAAGCTGGGGTTATGAAAACTTTATTAAAATCTTGTTCACGTCTAAATCTATTTATTAATTACCCGGGCACTGGCCGGGGTGCACTGGCTATGAGGAGCGTTTTCAGGTGGTGGATTGGGGAAAGTCTTGAGCAGGAAGATCATCTAGGATTGCATCGAATGATTTGGAATAAGATGCCACGAACCAACTGCACCAGGAGAAAGACGACAATGGTGAAAGAGGCGGAGGATCCTAGGACAACGGCTACAACACCAGATGATCTTCTATTCTAAACCCACTGCATTGTGGAACAGGGATCTTTGATCCAAAGACTAAGTGCACTGCTTATAACAGTGCTATCTTGGGCACGATCACGAGATATACTGCAACCACGCTGCCGTGTGTGCTTCCAGCAAAAAGGTAAGGCCCACTGATGGTGGATGTCGTTAGGAATTGGGCAATTTCAGATATAAAATTTTTTTGACCCGAACATTATCCATGTCATCACAAAAAAGAAAAGATCACCTATTTTTTGGAAGACCTTAAATGGTCAAGAGGTGACAATATCCAGGAAGTACGCAACAGTGGAGGGATGTTGCGAAAAATTGAACGTCCTCCTTCTGGAATATCAGACTTGGCACTTTAAATACTATATCGCTTACTGGACGCTCCATGGAGATTGTCAACCTGATGAAAAGGCAAAGGGTTGACATCCGTTCTCTGCATGAAACACGATAGAAATCAAATGGTGTTTCTCTTATTAAGAGTTACGAATTGTTCAGGAATGGCCAAAAGACAGCCCAAAATGGAGTGAGAATCATCATACAGAAATCACTGGCACAAAATGTACTGGAAGTGATTTAAATCAGCTCACGCCTAATGCTGATTAAATTCAGAATGGGAAAACAGGTTCTGACTGTTTTCTCTTCATAAGCATCACAGACCGATTAATGACTTCTGGAACACACTCTCAGATGCCGTCAGGAAAACACCATCATCAGAGATACCATTGATATGTGGCCATGCTAGAGATAAAGCAAATGGATTTCACGGTGTTCATGGAGGCTTTGGCTCCGGGTCTCAAAACGAAGACGGTGTGCGAATTCTGGAATTTGCTAATGAACATGAACTTTCTCTGTTGAACACCTACTTCAAGAAGAGGGCAGAACATTTGATCACATATAAAAGCTAGATGACGTGCACACAAACTGACTTTATTGTCGTCCGACAACAACACAGACGGCTATTCAGGAATACTAAAGTCATTCCAGGCAAAGCATGCATTCCTCAACATTGTTTGCTGGTGGCCGATATGATCATGAAACGATAACACCCTGTGACTGATCGAATGTCTACTAGAATATAGACATGGAAATTGAAGAACCCATGTTCAGGGAAAAATTCGAAAAGTTGGTATTGGCACGGCTGGATCGTCTGGAAAAGTAGACATTAATCTGGAAATCAGGTGGAGTCTACGTAGACAGCTTGTTCCCAAATATCTGGTTTGGCTAGTTATAACAACGTACTCTAACACAAAAACTCTGGTCAGCACAACAACCGGTAACACACATGAATTTGACATTAACGTCGGCGTCCATCAGGGATCAATACTCAACCCCCTGCTCTTCATCACGGTGATGGAAAAAATAACTAAACCGATACGGTCACATAACATGTGGAATGTGATATATGCAGATGATATTGTCCTGACGGCGGCCTCGGAACAAAATACAGCCAGAAAGTTTGAAATCTGGAATACCCAACTCGCCAACCACAGCTAAAGGTAAATCTTAACATAACAAAAACTATGATCACTGGTGGTACCGCTGAGCTTGTAGTCTGGTCATTGGCCATGTTTGTTGTGTGGGGCTAGAGTTAGAAGCAACTCGATCAAATGCTTACGATGTCAGCAGTGGTGTCACAGACGATGCTCGAAAATTACCGGCTTACTGAGGAAAGTGACTGATTTTGTATGTCCCGCCTGTATCAACCCGCAACAACGGGGCCTAGATGAGGATACGATTACCGAGATCGAAACTGTTACTACATTTGAGATGTGCTGGATTGTACTGGAACAGCTGATGCCACCGTTCGTTGCCTCAATACTGATGTGACGTAGCATTCTTTTACCGCTGCGCTCAGATCTATACAACACAGTTATACGTTCTGTCCTGATGTATGGTGCAGAGACGTGGCCGAGGACAACAAAACTCGAACAGCAGCTTCACCGAACTGACATGAAGATGATTTGTTGGATGCAGCACGTTGACCTAAGGGACCATATCCATACAACCAAGATCCTGAACCGATTGGACTGTGCACGTGTAAAGGCACTTGGAGACGCAAACTGATGAATCGAATAAAAAAGTTCGACCCATAACGGATGGAGATGATAAACGAGGATTTGATTTGATATTTATTAATTAACAAATATCCATGAAACATATGCCTTTTGTATAGTTTAAAAATCTAAAAAAAATTAATTTATAAAAATATATTTATAATTATTATTAATAATTTAATGACAGTAATAAAATATTGTTTAGTTTGCTTGAATAATTAACTAAGTTCATACCTCTGCAAAAGTTGTCACCTCGTACGAAGGGTGATAAAGATCCTGTGGTGATGATTCAAATGAATATTTAAATATAAATATGTGTATCTTTGTATCTTTGAAAACATTTAACTAAAACGACAAATTTTTAGTTTAGTTTAATGTTTTGAATAATAATCTGATTGTTTATATATAAAATTGCATTCCAAAATGTTAAAAGTGTATTTTAAGCTTCCAAATTACTTTAACAATAATTTCATGATCATTTTTGCGACTGATTTTTAGTTAAATTTCATAACTGATTGTTAATGAGAAATAAAGTAAAAGTTTTGCGTTTTCAAGCAACACTCCTTGTCAATTTTTATATAAATATCCTTGCATTAACACAATTGAAATATTCCCTACGGCAAATATGAATTAAAATATGTATTAACTTTGACCAGAGAGAGGTTAGCTCTTTATGTGGAAGAAGAAAAACCTGATATTATCGGCATAACCAAATCTTAGGCAAAAGATAATATGTATGATTGAAAGTTTTGTGTCAATAGATATACGTTATTTAGAAAAAAAACAGAGAAAATCAAAATAATCATAAACATGGAGCAGAAGGAGTTATGCTATACGTAAAAAACAACTTGAATGCTAATGCCTAGAATGACATTAAAGGGAATATCAATTTTAAGAAAACAGTAAGGTGTGAAAAAAATTAAAAACACTGTTATTGAATGGAGTATCTTATCAACCACCAAAATAAAAAAAAGATGTAGATAGAGGACTGCGAAAACTAATGAATACTGTTAGTAAAAACTCTTTTATTGTGATGGGAAATTATAATTATCATATAGATTGGTATAATCAAAAAATTGGAAAAAAGCAAGACAATCATTTTTTGGATTATATAAATGATAATTTTCTGTCGTAGCATGTAGAGGAACAAACTCGAGTAAGCAATATTCTAGACTTAGTTATCTCATCTAATGATAATCTTGTCCAGGACATAAAAGTTAAAAAACACTTTTTATTCAGTGACTATTGAATTATAAAACTCAAGTTACAATAGGAACCACAAATCATATCAACATCAAAAGGAATAAATTTAATTATTTCGAAGCAAACTATAACCAAATTAAAATTAAACTATGGAAATTAAATTTGGCAAAAGCTGTTGAAGCAGTAGGAGTGCAGCATGATTGGTATTTATTCCTGAAAGCGATGGACTAGTTGGTTTAGGATAATGTTCCGCAGTATAAGAAATCAATAAAAAAAGTGGAATTGGATAACAGGAAAAAAGTACGGAAGAAAAAACATGCTAAATAAAAAGCATGGAAAGTATATCAAGAGTTTAAAAACCATAAATGTAATAGACCAGCTAATTCAGAAGAATTAGTTTGAATGCAGCAGCTTGAAAACAAATACAAACAGAAAAGACAGGTAGGATATGACATTGCATAAACTTTTCAACAAATTGTTGGCGACGGGTAAAATACCATCAAATAAGAAAAATGCAACCATAGTGCTACTCTTCAAGAAAGGAGATTATTGCGACTCAGAAAATTATATACCAATTAGCCTTACAAACACAGCATGCAAGGTACTCAAAAATATAATCAAGAAGATAATTGTGAACCACTTTGCAAAAAATAATATCATATACAAGAGCCAACATGAATTTATGGAGAAGTGTTAATGCCTAACAATTTTGCTTGACATTTTTGAAGAGGTTTATGAAAATTTGTAAAAATAAAGCAAAGTACATTGTGTACTCGGATTTTGCTAAAACTTTTGACGTTTGGCCTTGAAATTAAAAACAAGTGGAATTGCAGAAAACACACTCAAGTGGATTTCTAACTGGTTGCAAGATAGACGTGTTATAACTGTCTTGGTTGTTTCAATATTCTTTTTTAACTTTAGGCGCGTGTATTGGTGGATGCTGTTTAACCAAAGATTGTCCACAAAATTTGTTATTGATTGTGGGACTTTATGTAGTACGCCATATTTCATATCAGTTGGAGTTCTTATTGTACTTCTAAAAAGGATCTTTGAGAGAGTCTCCTCAGTAGCTATGTAAATGGCACTTCCATATGTTGTGAGGGACAGTGGTATTTGTCAATTCAAGTTTTTTTGGTTTTCGTCAACTACCTTGTTCAATAAGCGTTTAGTTGAAACGTTCCAACATTCCCTCTGACTGAAGATGGAGATGAGTTGTTCCTATCTTTTTTATACCGATTAATTAACACAGCTCACCAAACCGTTGCGACTTAAAGTTTCGACCTTGGGAATACTTGGCAGCTTCATAGGAACACCATACCGACTGATCCAGTTTATTACAATCTCCTATTTGGTATCGGATAAACTTCTGGCCACCTGCTAAAATAGTCCGCTACAACCAGAATGTAACGGTTTTTATCATTTGATTCAGGAAATGGTCCAGCAATGTCGATAGCAATTTTTTCAAAGGTCACACCAACATTATAGATTTGCATTTTTTCTCGTAACCTTCTTTTGGGACCTTTCAATGTTGCGAACTTAACATTTTCGACACCAACTTCCCACATCTTGTCGAGCGTTAACCCAGTAGAACCTCTCACGTATTCTGTCAAGCGTCTTATTAACTCCAAGATGTCCTCCTGATGAGCCACCATGCATTTTTTAAATTTCTGCAATTTTATTCCTAGGTACCACAATCTGCTTGCGATGTTTTGATCCATCTGTTAATTTCTATTTCCGTTTAAGCCACTCATTCCAAATGCTAGAAGTCCCACTGAACCCAGTAGTTTTCTAACGACCAACTGAATTTAAATATGTTTTGCCATTCAGGTCGCTGGCATGATTTCTTTTATCCAATGACGTAGGTAAGCCTTCGTCCGCAGACTGTGCGTTTGCCAGTTCTTTCGGTGTCCATTCTGTATCTGCTGTTATCTTAATTTTTTGTACACTTTTTGTTTGTACTTTCTCTCCCAGTCGACTGCATTATTTGCTACCTGGTAAACAAGGTCGACAAGAAAGAGCATTGGCATTGTTGTGGGAGATTCCTTTACGGTGCATAATTTCAAAGTCGTACATTTGTATTCGTTCTAACCATTATGCCACCTGTCCTTCTGGATTTTTAAAATTGAGCAACCAATTTAACGCTGCATGATCCGTAGAGGTACTTGTGAAAATGTTTTGTTCCCATGACCATCGCTAGCAACATTTTCTGGTGACTCAGTAGTTGCGTTCAGGCTATGTAAGACTTTTGCTTTAATAGGCCAAAATCTATTCTTCTCCGTCAAAAATTTGTGACAAAACCGCGCCAATTCTACAGTTGCTTGAACCCGTATTTAGCACAAATGGTTTATCTGAAATTGGATATGCTATCAAGGGGGCACATAATTCTTTTTTTAGTCATTTAAAAGCGACTTCCCATAATTCATTCTAATCAAACGCTCGATCATTTTTCGTGAGTTGTAGTGGTCGTACAACTTTTGCAAAATCATTTACGAAACGTCGGTAGTATGTAGCTAATCCGATGAAACTGCACAAATCATTTTTATTTTACGGAGTTGGCCAATTTTTTATAATTTCTTCTTTTCTTGGATCTGTCTACACTCCATTGGAAAATATGACATGTCCCAAGTAATTCACTTTTTTCGCAAACAATTTGCACTTTTTAACGTTCAGCTTTAAGTTTGCTGCTTTAAGTCTCAAAAATATATCTCGTAAATTCTCGACAGCTGGTTGAATAACTCCTGAAACAATTATATCGTCTAAGTAAACAAGACATGTTCTCCAGATGAGACCTCGTAATACATACTCCATTAGTCGTTCAAACGTTTTTGGAGCATTGCACAGTTTAAACGGCATTATAGTAAATTGCCTCAAGCCTGATCAGATTGAAAATGCTGATTTTTTCACGGTCGTTTTTCTTGATCTCTACTTGCCAATATCCGCTTTTCAAGTCTAGCGTGGAGAACCAGTGTGAACCGGACAACGTGTCCATAATGTCACCTATTTTCGGTAATGGATAACTATCTTTTTTCTCAATTTGTTTAGCTTTCTGTAGTCCAAAAAAAAGCGGGTGCTGCCGCCTTTTTTTATAAGGACAACTGGCGAGGTTCAAGGACTAGTTGACTGTACGATGACATCTTGGTTTAGCATTATAGTTATCATCTAGTTTACCTCTTTTTGTTTTGTTAGTGGAAGTCGTCGTTGTACTTGTCTGATTGGCTTCGAGTCTTGAGTATTGATTTGATAAGTAACAAAACCCGTTTTTCTAAATCAGTTTTAAACCATGTTTTGTTAGAAATGAACGCCTATAATGCATTTGTCAGTAATATCTGCTATTAAGAATGTGCTCTCAAATGCTAAATCGCCTAGTCGAACAGTTAAGAAATTTTTCCGTAGATAAGCGCTGTACCTCCTTGAGAATGTATAAAAATTTTCTCCTTTTAGGTCGGATACCTGATCGGATCTTAAAATTGACCTTGTTGCTCCGGTGTCTATCATAATTGAACATTTTTGTAAACCAACTTTATCATCCAACCAAAGGTAAGGTCGTATTGACTTTGATGCAGCCTAGAGACTTTAATCAAGATACTGGGAGCGTCAATTCTACCAGACATCTCCTTTTCCCGAAATTGGCTCTCATTTGTTTCCCGCCTACTTGTTTGAGGCAGTCGGTCGTGACGCAGGGTCACCATCTAACAGTTTGTACCATGTTGCTGCACAATGACGACCGTGCAAATATATTTGTTTTGGACAGTCATTTGGACGGTTGATATTGTCGTTTCGTCAGTTAATTTTGGTGTTTTCGTCGTTAAAAGTAATCGTTTATTGATATTTTTTGGATAGATTAACATAATTAGATTTTTGAATAATTTTATATAAAATTTAGTTTGTAAAATTCATTATTTTAGTGAAATTTGATAATATATTGTCTGTAAATTGCTGTCACGTGATAGGAATTTCCCTGATAGTAAGCGTAATTATTTATAATAATAAATTCAATAATGTCGTCCGGTAGTCGCTACTGTTGTACGATGTGTACAATAAAAGTTCCAAGTAAAGATTTGTTGTCATGCACTTGTTGCAAGACTTTTATTCATAATAAATGTGAAACTAACGATGACATTCTTGAAATTTTGAAATGTGTTAAAGGTTTAAAATGGTTTTGTCAACGCTGTGTTGATTTGTCTTAAGATGTTAGTTCTTTGGCTAAGTCAATGGATGCGTCTAAAAATGAATTTGTTGCTCAACTAAATGAAATAAATGATAGTAACAAAAAAATAAAACTTGACGTTGATAGCATAAAAAAGGTTGTTGACCATAACCAATCTAAACTTGATGAACTTGATCGTTTCGATACTGTTTTACGTGAGGAAATTAAAGTTTTTAAAAACGAATTAAAAGAAAAATTTTTAAATTGAATGTTGAAGTAATTAGAAGTGATGTCAAATCAATCCTGAAAATTTTACAAGAAGCTAGTGACGTTAAAGAAAGAGAAACAAATTTATTGATGTTTCGTTTAGCTGAAAGTGATGATGATCGTTCCAATGTTTTGAAAATTTTAAAGCATTTGACAGATGTTTCTGAAAAAAATGTAATCAAAATAATGAGACTGGGAAGGAAATGCGAAACTATCGTTAGACCCATTTTGATAAAGTTAGATTGCGTTTTACTCAGAGACTCAATAATGAGAAATGTATATAAATTCAAGTCGTTAAAAGAATTTTCACACGTTGGACTGAACTATGATTTAACAAAGGATCAGAGGCAGGAATTCAAATCATTTGTTGATAAAGCTAAAGTTATGGAGCGAGAAGAAAACAATCAAAATTTTTTGTTCAGAGTGAGAGGACAGGTAGGGAGATGGAAGATTGTAAAAATACAGAAAAAACCAGTGTTAATTTTGATTCATGATGGGCTAGATATTTTCGTTTTAGTCGAAACTTGGCACGGATCTTTGAATAACATTTCTGTTAAATCATCAATGCCACCAGGATATAGTTATGTTGATTTTTTAAGAATAAATGGGGGTTTAATTATTTACTTCAATAATGAATTTAAGTTTAAGAAAATAGATCTGCCAATATTTAGTTCATTTGAAGCACTTGCTGTTAAATTATTTATTAGCAACAAAGATTTTGTTCTATTAGCCTTCTACAGGCCATGATCAGTTTTAGTTAGTAATTTATTTTTTGAAGAATTTTTATGTTTACTAGAAAATATCACTTCTTTTAGTTTAAATATCATACTTTTGGGCGATTTCAACATTCACTTTAAGAAACAGGAAGATCGTCATACTGTAAATTTATTGGAAATATTAGAAATGTTTCAATTAAAAAATTTGATCGACGAACCGACTCATGAACATGGAGGTATTCTTGATCTGATTATTTGTTCTCAAGATTTTCAGATTTCAGATATCAAGATTTTTCCCAGTGGGAAATTTTCAGACCATAGTTTAATTCAGGTTAACATACCATTAACTCATAAGCGCCCTAAAATAGTCAAGAAACAAGTTAGATCCTGGAAATACCTAAGTGAAAGCAATCTCATTAAATATATACAAACTTCTCCATTATCAAGGTCTTGCCAAAGCAATAATATTAATATTGAGTTTGATATGATGAGTTCTGAACTCAAGAAATTGGCTGATGCAGTTGTTCCACTTCGTTTTGTAGAAGTCAGATGTGATGTTAATGCTCCGTGGTATGATGGTGAATGTAAATCTTTCAAAAGACTTTGTCGAAAGAAAGAAAAGAATTACAGAAAATATCAGACAGAGAAATGTAAAAATAAGTGGATAGCAGCTCTGAAAAATAAATCTAAGCTTTTTTCACAAAAAAGAAACAGTTATTGGAAAAGACTTGTAGCAGACAATAGTGGATCTTCTAAAAAGCTATGGAATGTTATTAATAAAGTTCTTTGTAATCAGGTCACTGGTCAGTCATTGAGTGAAATTGTTGGTTTAGATTCGTCTCAATTCTTAAAGTTTTTTAATGATAAAGTAAATAAAATTAAACAGTCTACCAATGTGAGTAATTGTCCGACTATTTGTCAAGCTCAGTACAATGAGAATTGTTCTTTTCCTGACTTTATGCTTTTAACAGAATCTGACGTTAAAAAAATTGTACTCAGTTTGCCATCAAAAACATTTATGATAGGTGTCTTTCCGACCCATATTTTAAAAAAATATATTGATTTAATCATCGTTTTTCTTACCAGCATCTTAAATCTGAGTCTGAGCAGTGGCATATTTCCTAATGGTTGTAAGCATGCTATGGTTTATCCAGTATTAAAAAAAGTGAATATGGATCGAAATGATTTGTCTAGTTATAGACCAATTTCCAACATCTGTTTCATTTCCAAGATATTTGAACGAGTGGTTGCCAAACAGCTCTAGAATCATTTGAATGTACACAACCTGCTACCAGTTCACCAGTCTGGATATCGCCGCTATTATTCAACGGAAACTGCACTGCTTTATGTGTTTTCTGAGTTGTTTGCTGCCTTGGACAAACAACATGTGGCTCTAGTCGCGTTTTTAGATATGAGTGCGGCATTTGATTGTGTAGACCATCAGATTCTCTTGGAAAAATTGGTTCATGATTATGGTATTTCCGGTACTATTATCAAGTGGTTTAGATCATATCTGTTTGACAGAAAATAACAAGTAGTTTTGACATCAGGAGTGCCACAAGGTTCAGTGCTTGGGCCTATTCTTTTTATCATGTATACCGCTGAAGTTTTTAAAGTAATTGGTAATTTCGGTTTTAAATATCATGCCTATGCTGATGATATTTAGATTATAGTTAGTAATAAGCCAGAATTACTGCAATCTGAAATCAACAAACTTGTAACCTGCCTAAATAACATAGATAATTCAATGTCAAACAATGGTCTTAGATTAAATCAGCAGAAGTCAAAATTTGTTCCAATAGGTACATGGCAGCAGCTGATGAAACTTAATATCGATTCAGTGAAAATTGGAGATGTTAAAATAGAATTTAGTGACAAAGCAACTAATCTGGGTTTCATTCTTGATTCTAGATTATCGATGCATGATCATATAAAGATGATAACAAATTCTTGCTCCGGACAGATTTGAGAACTCTATAAACTCCGTAAGTCAGTAGATAAATCTGCTATTCATAAGTCCGTAAGTCATTAGATAAATCTGCTATTCATACCTTGGTGCATTCACGATTGGACTATTGCAATGGTCTGTTTTACGGTTTGCCAGATAGGTCTATTTCTGCAATTCAATCTATTCAGAATAGAGCAGCCAAATTGATTGTTGGAGGTCTCAAATTTAACCATGTTACTCCAATTCTTAAGAGCCTTCATTGGCTTACTATAAAAAAAAGAATTAAATATAAAATATGTATTTTAATGTATAAAACTGTGCATGGCTTGTTACCAAGTTATTTGATAGATAAAATAAAAAAAAAGTCTATAATGATGAGTGATTAAAAACCTTAGATCAGATGATGGCATTTTGCTGGTTGTACCTGATGTCAATCTGCAGATAGTATCAAGAGATTTTGCAGTATCTGGACCAATGGTTTGGAACAGCTTACCGAAATCTTTTAGAACTAAAGATTTGAAACTTGATGATTTTAAAAAGAAACTTAAAACTTACTTATTTTCGCTTTGATTTTGTTTTTAAGTGAATAATTATTTGTTTGTTACTACCGCCATTGACTGTACTTTTTTCTTTTTGACTTTGTTTGATTATAGATAGCGCTTTTGAGAACATTTTGATTTTAATTAGCGCTTATAAATGTTTCATTAATAATAATAATAATAATGACGACAGTAATTGTTTTTAGAGCATTGTTTAAATCTTGTTGTAGATGTCCTTTTTTCTACAATTCCCGCATTTTAGCGCACTATAATCCTGATTTTTCTCTTCTAGAATCATCTTTTGACAAACATTCTTCACAAATTTGGCGCAGCTTTTCGTTAGTCTATGATGCTTGCTTTGCTGAATCAAATGTAAGACTGTAGGCAACGGCGTCTTTGAGCTTGCGTTTGTCTGCTAGTATGAGGGTTTGTCTAAAATCTGAATCTCGAACAGCCTTTACAAACGTTTTCAATGCAGTTTTTTCTGTATTGTTAGTTGTACATAGGGTATGACAACAGAGTCAACCGTTCAATATTCTGTGCTAGTTGCTGTATTTATTCTCCAGGCTGCTGCGTCCAATTTCGTAACTGGGACCATTATATTTTTTCATGTGTTCTTCACCACAATGTAAATTTAACACCTTTACCAGGATTTCATAGTTGGAATGGTTCTCGACTGTAATCGTTTAGAGAACTTCTGCCGCTGACCCTCGTAACGCTACCTCAAGAGCTGTTGCCCGCTCATTTTCATTCCAGCCATAATTCATTGCTGCTGCTTCAAATTGGGCTTTATAAATGTTCCAAGAAGTTTTTCCGTCGAATGTTGGCACTTTAAATGTTTCCGCGGTCACGTGGCTTACAGACGTGGAAATTATTTTCTTAGTTTCTTCCAGTTCTTGTTAAAGTTTATCTTTTTCGCAAGATAACTTTTTTCGAGCCCGGGAACCTTTTGATCAAATTTCTGTTCTATTTTTGACGTGATGTCTTCCATTTTTGCATAGATTACGGTCAATTGCTGTTCAGCTTTGATATCAAATTGTTTTCTGAGTTTTCTCAGCTGTTGTATCATTTTAGCATAAATCGCGGAAGACTGTTGTTTGATTTGGGCATCAATTTGATCTCTCGTATGTTCAAATTTTGCATCAATTTGATCTCTCGTCTGTTCAATTTTTCTTGTTTGTTGTTCAATTTTTGTAGGTTGTTGTTCAATTTTTGTTGACTGTTGTTTTATTTTTGATAATATCGTTTTAAGTAGAGCCATCGTTTCGGTGTTTGCCCCAGCGTTTACAACTGCATTCAAGTCGACATCTTGATCGTCAAACTCGAATACATCTAGATTCTTGCTTTCATTAACAAGGGTTTCCGCTAGGCGCTGTTTCCACTTGTAGCAAGATTTCGTTTTTGTAACTCTTCTTTGAGTTGCACCAATTTAAGTTGATGTATTTTTGTCATGTTCTTTTTACAAAATAACTTGTTGACGAAAAAAAATAAAATTTTCAACAACGATGCTCACTTATTTTCCACCGAAGATCCCACTACAGACACCAATGTTATATTTGTCTCGGTCGACGACGAGTTCGTTTAATCCCAGTAAAAAATAAAAGCAATATAACTTCCAAATTATTGGTTTATTTATTTACAAATCAATAATCAACGCCTATTAATTTTTCTAATAATAAAATAATGTTCACAAACTATCGAATTAGCGTTCCGAGGCTATCGCTTTCCGAATAACAATTCACTAACGCTTATCGCAAATACAATAGATATACAACCCAGAGTCAAATATCAAATATTTCTTTCGACACTAACAATTAATCGCCTTCTAAAACCAAATATTCAATAACAACCATTCAATATCTCGCATGCCTTTTTATACCCGTTTTACCGACGCTTCTCGAACGTCCCAGATATCTCGCTGTTAGAAGTTTTTAGTTCTTTCTCGAACTCTATGCGAAACTAGCGTCTTTAGCAAATATATTTGTGACGGTTATAATAGACGGTAAAAAGTTTGTATTGGTATAATTTTTTCAAGCTGGAGCAATGTTACAAGTGGGGTTCCTCTAGAATCCGTATAAGGACCTTTGCTATTTGTAATTTACCTTAACGATATTGATCCAGGAAGAAAATCTAAAATTTCAAAATTTGCAGATGACACTAAATTATGTGCTGTAGTTGACAACAATGAAAATATTGAAATTCTAACATGCGATTTGCAAATACCATACAAATGGACCGAGGAACGGAGGATGGTATTCAACACCAACAAATGTGCAGTCATACATATGGGAGCAAAAAATAAGGAAAATATATTTAAGCTTAGAAATACGCCACTAAAAATATATAAGAGGAAAAGGATCTATGGGTAATGATACATCAGCGTGGTAATGTAGCATGACAATGCACAGAGGAAGCTAAAAGTGCAAACACGGCTATGGTTATGATAAAAAGAACAGTGAAAAGCAGGGATATGATTGCCTATTAAACCTATATAAAACATCGGTTCGAACAAAGTTGGATTACTGTGTTCAGCTTTGGAATCTAGATTTACAAAAAGATAGACATATGCTTAAGAAAATTCAAAGGAGGGCAACGAGATATGTTATGTGAAGATAAATTAAAAGTTTATTGTTTGGCAAAATTATAAAAACGAAAAAAAAGAGATTGGACTAAATGAATTGTTGGAGGCAAGGTGTCAAAATCAAATGAAAAATATCCGGCCCCTCAAAAAATTTCGACTCCAACTCCGACTCGGGGTAATATTTCCGACACACACACGACTCTGGGTTAAGAGTCCAAAAAAATTTCAACTTTTATGTATTAATTTTGCTTAAATATTACTACTAAATAAAAAATATTTTAAAAAACACTTAAAATCAATCAATGTAATTGTTTCTTAGTAAAATAATTTTGAAATTAAGTTTTAAAAAATCTCCGGCTCGACCGACTCCGACAGGTGGATGAAGGTCTTATTGTAAGACTCCGATTTTTAAAAAATTTTTATTGGCTCACTATAAGATATATATATAATATATGAAATATATCTTACAATGCATAAAGCAAAAAACAGCAAAGATGAGCGACATGAATCTGAGATTTGATGATAGTGTCTCACATCATTTTGCAGGTAACGTCACAAAATATAGCGGTTTCAAAACCAAATGTATGGAACAGTTCACCAAGATCTCTGAGGACTAAAAAACTGAAAAAGGAAAATTTTAAAAAAATCTTGAAAACTTACTAATTTTTAATCTTATACTTGTTATTAAATATTAATTATTGATAAAAATGCTATCTCCGCTTCTTTCGTCTGGTGGAATCATCGGAAAAAAGATACGTCTTCAAATATTTGCAAAACTTTTGAATAGTTAAACCAGGTTGACGGAGGCTGTATGGCAGTGAGTTCCAAATTTGTGGACCAGCAACGGTAAAATTCCTATTGGCCACCATCAAATCTGTTTTTGGAACCGATAAAAATAACTGATCATCTGAACGTAATTGCAAGAGATGAATAGTTTTCGTTTTGTATAAACACCTTCCGGGCAAATAGCTTGGGCTTAAACCATTTAAACATTTGGAAACAGTAACGGCAAGCTTGAAGATGATTTTTTTTTCAATTGTGAGCCAATGGATATCTCGTAGAGTATTACTGATATGGTCGTATTTTGACCCTCCGGAAACGATCTTAGCAGCACGATTTTGAATTGACTGAAGACGATTAATCATTTGATTTGAAACTCCGCAAAAATGCTGTTGCAGTAATCTAATTTTGGGTGAATGAATGCCTGAACCAAACATTTCAAGGTGTCGTTTATGACTGATTTTTTTACATGCCTGAGTTTGCGAAATTGATAGCAACAATCGTTAATCAATGACTTTGTATGTTGATCCATTAACAATGCAGTATAAAATACAACGCGCAGATTTTTAACAGAAGTGCAAAACTCAACATTAGAACCACAAATGTTGATGGAGTTAATATTAATTTTTTTAATTGCTGCCAAGTACCGACAAGCAAAATTTGTGTTTTGTTTTCGTTTAGTTTTCGTTTATTATTTACCATCCATTCACTTAATTCATTAAAACAACATAAAAAATCTATCAACCATCGCATCATAACCAAGGTCTGCGTTACCGCAACCAATTATTTTCAACCATATATATATATATATATATATATATATATATATATATAATTTTTTAAATACATATATATAAATATATATACAATTTTTAAAATAAGATTTCTCAAAAGCAAAGTTAAAATCCAATCTTATTTCCATGCGATCAGTTGGTCCTCACGTTGTCAGACCACGACGTCTCACTGACGATCATGTCGGAGTCGGAGTATTTAGCATCGGCATCAAGTCTGAACAAAGTGGACGGTTGGCTGTTATCAAGTTTGGGTTAGGGTTTGGCATCGCGTTTCTATTTTTTAAACGCGGGGTATAGGGATATAACCTCTAACCGATGAAAAAACTGTCGTTGGGTTGGTGACTTGAAAAAAGCAGCGAGCAAGATTTTCTAACGCAAAAATTCTGCCACATTTTCATTGTGACAAGTGTGAAACATCAGTTATTATTGGACATTTGAAAATGATCAACGCCGACTGAAGTTTACGTTAACTGCCAGACCACATAAATTTAATTTTTTTAATTAAATTTCAATTTGTTAGCTAAAATCAATTGTTTCACTGTCTTTGTTGAATTTGAAACAGTGGTTAAGAACTCATTTTATAAACTGTAATACTTAATATTATCAAATTTGTATACACTATTTTTCAGTTAAACGGTCTCTCCATTTACTCCGGTTCTTATTTAAAAAAAATTGGAAAATTTAAAATAATTGTTTCCAATGACTTGTAAGTTCTAGAATACGTTTTAAAACGTTTTTGTTTCTAAACAAAAATGGCATTGAAAAATATTCAATAGTTGAATAACGGGTGAAAGAGATGCACAATCAATATCTATTATGGCAGGTGTACGAACAAATTTGGTACTTTCGATATTTTTAATTCTAACAATTGGAGGTTTTAAATAAATGTTTGTTTAACTTCAAAAAAATTTATTGAGTGAGCTGTGACACATTAAAATAAATATTTCACCAACTTTTTCCATCAGGGGCAACTTAGAAATTTTCATAAAATCATTTTTATTTTTGCGGTCAGCACCGTTGGGCTGGTAAAAATATTGAAATACGTTTTTATAATTAAACATTGTTTGTAACAAAATTATTATAAACATAATAAGTTTAAATTTTTTAATTCTAAAAAATAGCTTTTTTAATGCAACCTTAAATACTTTAACAAGACAGTAACACTTGTTGACCAGTTCTTTGATTTTGTAACTGTCTTTTTCTCGTCTGTTCGTTTTTTCTTCATCCCAATATATTGAATACGTGTCGATCTGTAAACGAAAAGGAACGCCTTTTTCTCCACCATGTTTCTTTGCAGTAAACTCGGTACTAATGCAGTTGATTTTAATGGAGACTGATGCCTCTACAGAGGCAGACCAAATAACCGCAACTTCGTTAGGGCGCGGTTTCGGTTCTTGGATATCAATTATGTTATAGGTCAACGGAACATCTTTATGAAATATTTAAAAAATATAAAAATAGATTAATAGTAATTGCTAGACAAATTATTTACAGTAAAAGCTGAACATTTAGAGTATTTTGCAAATTACAATTTAATTGTGTAACCTATATTCATACGTATACATATCTGAGGGTCTTGTTAGACAATGTGCCTACCACTTGCGGACCGTTTTCCAACGTAGTTAGTGGGGAGGTGCAGAAAAGCGTTCAGTCTTTAAATGCAAATGTCAAAATGTTTAAAAGACGTTGATGGATGTTGTTGATCACAAAGATAGGGAGGCCAATCTAATGATGTTTAAATTGAGTGAAGGTCTTGACGACAAGGCAAGAGTTTTTAAAATTATTGATCATTTGACCGGAGGAGAGTGTGGTGAGAAAAACATACTGAGGTTGATGCGGCTCGGCAAAAAAAGTGATTTTACTGTTAGGTCAATTTTTATAAAATTCAACAATGTCGAGGTTGAGAGGCTGGTTTTCAAAAACATTTGAAATATGAAGTCACTGGATAAAGACTTGGCTAGTGCAAAGTTGAGTCACGATCTCAGTAATGACCAGAGAATTGAATTTAAGAAGTTACTCAATGAGGCTAAAAATAGGGAGGTCGGATGCAAGGAGGGTTTTTTATACTGGGTAAGAAGAGATTTGAGAAAGTGGAAGATAAATTAATCAATGGTAGAATTGGCTCTAACTACAGTCAAACTAAACTGGTTAAAAACAATTCTTTCTTGCATGATGATGAATTCAACGGTGGCAAAATAATAAACAGTGTCAGACTTGGATTGTTGATTGTAAGGTCAATTGGGTCAAGTGTAAACGTTATTCATGGGCTTATATGTGATGGTTTAGATGTTTTGGTGCTAACTGAAACGTGGCAAGACAGGGTTGGTAACAATTCCGTCAGATTAGCGATGCCACCGGGGTATTGGTTCGTTGACTATATTAGGAAGCATGACCCGGATCATAGAAAGCCGATTATATATTTTCGCAAAGATTTAAGGCATAAAAAGTTAGTGCTATCTTTGTTTGTCACATTTGAAGCTGTGGCCATCAGAATAATTTAATGGGAGTCAGTTGATTTTAATTGCCATATATAGGCCAGGTTCAGCATGGATAACTACCTGGTTTTTTGAGGAAATGGTATCAGTTTTAGAATACGTTGAAGTGTTAAACTCCAACATTTTGCTAATGGGTGATTTCAATGTGCACATCAAAAAAGTTAATGATTAACATACCATTCGTTTGTTTGAAATATTAGAAACATTCCAGTTGATAAATCACGTGCATGAACCAACTCACATTCTGACCTAGTAATTAGTTCTAGTAATTTTCCTATTTCCAGTACAATGGTATCTCCAAGAAAAGCTCTTCTGACCATAGCTTCATAGAAATTAAAACATCCATTGTTCACAAATGTAGCATCAAAACCAAAAAAAATTGTCAGATCGTTGAAGTGCCTCAATGAGGATCAGTTCATTCAGGCAGTGTTGAGTTCTCCTATATCAGGTCCATGCCGAAGTGAAGACGTTGAAGATGAAATGACCACGTTCAACGGATGTCAAAAACAAACTTCAAGATTTTGTGCAATATTTTATGGACAATGCCACAAAAATTATTTAATCTACAAAGTCAAACCGTATGCCCTTTGAACGCTTTACTCACATCGTTTCCAGAGATCACTGAAGACGATCCCAAAATAATCATTCTTGAATCGCCTTCTAAAACTTGTTCTTTAGACATCATGCCAACACATGTTTTTAAAAAATATCTTGATGTGTTCATCTGTTTCTTGACGAGTTTTATTACACTCTGTCTACGACTGGGTAAAGTACCAAAGTATTTTAAGCATGCTAGAATTGTACCAATCTTATAAAAAACTGGTTGTGAGGGTAATGAGATTGTAAACTATAGACCAATTTTTAAAAATCATGAAGCGTGCTATTTTGAAGTGTCTGCTGAAGTACCTAGATGAAAATAATTTAATGCCAATTCATCAGTCTGGATATCTCAAATACCACTCCTTTGAAACTGCTATATTACACGTTTTATCAAATTTATTTGCTGCTGCAGATGCAGATGATCAAAACATATCGGTTTTACCATTTTAAAATATGTCATCAGCATTTGATTATGTTGACCATAATATTCTTCTGTATAGATTATGCTCTACTTATGGTGTCCCGTGTTTTTCGCAAATGGTTCGGATCATATCTCATTGACCGTCACAACAGGTTGCATTTAAAAACTCAGTGTCAGATGTAGTATTGGTGTCATCCGGAGTGCCTCAAGGATCTGTCTTGAAGCCCATCCTATTCCTGCTCTACACACCCGAATTAATTAAAATAATCAATTCATATGGATTTATTTGTCATGCTTTTGCTGATAACATTCAGATATTGGTTACTGGTCCTACAAACTCGTCTAGAAATGAAATCGTCAGATATAATAAATGCATGACTGAGATTAGTCATTGGATGTCAAATAACTCATTAAAGTTGAACCAATGCAAGACGCAGTTGCTTTCTGTTGGAACATGACAGCAGTTGATAAAGATGAACATTAATGCTATCAAAATAGGAGATGTCAATATATTCTTCAGTACAACAGCTTCCAATCTTGGGGTTCTTCATGATGGCAAACTGTCCATGAAGGACCATATCAAAAAGATGTCTTTTGTATTAGGCACCTAACAAATTTATATCGAGTTAAATATTTGTTAGACAGACTAACATAAAAGAGTTTAGTCCATGCTTTCATATCAACACGGCTGGATTACTGTAATAGCTTGTTTTATGGTCTAAAGCGATTGCGGTTTGCTTCGAGATATTGCTTTTGCTGGTCAGACCATCTGGAACAGCCTACCGGCATCAACGAGAAGACCTTGAATTTGTCTTTCTTTGTTCAAAAATGAATTGAAAACATTTTTATTTTCCGCTTGAATATGTTTATGCTTGTATATATTTAGTTTTTGTATAGAAACAATTTTGTTTTCTGTATTGCTATGGTGATATTGAGCATGCTTATTTATTTGTGACAATTACGCACAATAATAATTTTGTTAAATTGTTCTGATAGTGCCATTGAAAGGTTTTAATTGGCGCATTATAAACTTTTCATAATATATATATATATATTTATATATATATAATATATTTATATATGTATATATATATATATGTATATATATATATAAATGCATTAAATAATATATATATATATATATATATAACTTCGAGATTAAGTTTAGCGAAATGAAATGTAACCAAGAAGTTAATTCTAACCAAGCTCAATCAGCCGCAGGCCAGTTCTACTTTTCAACCAAACAGCGAATTGTTCTTTTTCTGTGTGTTGCAATCGCCGTTGATGAAACATGATTTTTATTTCACTCTGAAACAACATTTGAAACATTTTAACGTTTGAAAAAATGTTTATGTTTCCAAATTTTTACGTTTTTGCTTCAAATCAAATTTTTTGATCAGTACACTTACGCGCAGTACGCACACTACAAACACAGTGTACACACATGCACATGCGCACGCACACAAACAGCAGGGCCGGCCTTAGGTAGTAGGAGGCCCTAGGCAAAGAAAATTTGGTAGCCCGAAGTGACATCAAGTGCACAAGAAAATTTTACACATTTAAAAAAATTTCAACCTGAATACGTTTGTTTAATGATAAATTTTTGCTGCATAATACTGCGATTAATTAAAAATAAAGCAGTTAGGCATATAAAATTAATTCATTGAAGTAGGATTTCTAAATAAAAAGTTGTTTAAATCAGAAATAGAACTAAAATTATAAAACTTTTTTTAAGTTTGTTCAGTGGTAGAATTTTACGGTTAATTCCAAAATTACATACACAATAAATCAAATATTTAAATGATAAAATTTAAATTTACGAGAGGTGTTGACAAAGATACATGAACGATTGTACATTACAGAAACATTTATTTGTTTATTGAAAAATATTCAAAATAGAAATAATAAAAACAAATAATATTAATATAATTAAAACATCAAATGAGCCTAGTTAATACTTAATTTGAAATTATTTTGAAAAAAGATAAAACAGTATTTTGAAAAAATTAAAATAAAGAAACGAAAAATAATAACAGAAGTTATTTTCCAGCTCTGTTAAATTACAACTTTTGTTGAACTTTTTCCTTTTTTCGTACATCCAGGTTGTTCAATTGATATGTCCATAGACGATAACACATCAAAGAACTTGACGGTATCGATGAACTTTTAACTAATTATTAATAAACATCAAAACCCTGACAGAAATTTTGTTCCATTTGATATAATTCTGTTCTTTTTTAATTAATTTGCAAATTTGTATATACCTGTGCGAGGCTTCAAAAATCGCAGGCCTATGACTGCCTGCCTAGTTAACCTATGCATAAGGCCGGCCCTGCCCACAAACACACACACACACACACACGCATATATATATATATATATATATATATATATATATATATATACACAGTATTTTATAAATTGCACAAAGCTACATTTTGCTAATCATTAAAAATTATAAATTAAAATTTAATAAAAAATTTTAAATGTCAACTTTTATGAAATGACAAAAAGTGTACAGCACTTTTTGAAAATCATTGCAAGTAACAATTTCCACAGTTACTACCTACCAAGTAAGCAGTTTGATTTTTTGGGCCATCCTGTCCAGCGTCACCGTCATTACTGGAGAACTGTTTTTTAAGTTTAAGTTCATAAGATTGGCCTGTCAATGTTAATTTTTGTTTTTAAAAATGTTATTTTATCATAGTATTAGTGTAATGGCATTCATATCAACTACAGTAAAAATGTGAAAAAATTCTGATCTATTCTAATAAAATGCATAAAAAACCTTGATTAAGACAGGTGAGAGGTTCTTCTGATAATTTGGTTGCCGATGAAGTCGATGCTGCTAACGTGTAGTTGAAAGTATAACTGGTTTTGGTTGTAAACAGTAAAAATTGAAATTATGATTCATAAAGAATAATGGACAGTAAATCTAAATAATAAAAGAAAGTTTTTGCGTGCTTGCGTGCCTTCGTGTGCCCAGCGGATCGTTTTATTGTTCTAAGAAGTTTTTTTAGCTATTAATTTTAATTATGTTTTAAAATTGCTACTAGAGAATATTTTCGACCATAAAACAAAAATTTTTTAGTTCTATGCTCAGTATCAATAATCTAACTTTAAATAAGAAATTAAAACTGGTTTTGGAATAACGGCTAGTGATACTTAAATTAAATAAATGAATCATAAAATGTCTGACATTGATCTCTTTAAAAAACACTGATAAAATTATGGTATTAAAAAACGTTAGCGCAAATCATGTATTAATTAATAAATGTTTTAACACGATATTTGTTTTTTTTGCTTAACCTTTTTTTTACTTTTTTAAAAATTAAGTTATAGATTACCAAGAGTTAAAAAATAATTACCAGATGTTTTTGCAAAATTATACCAGTTTGGAATGAATAAAATGTTATTCATAATATGTAATTAATCGTCCATGATTATGCTAAAAAGTTCAAAATAATAAATTCTTTCCGCACAAAATCATCAATTTTTTTTATAACATTGCTTACGATTCTTTCTATAAAACAATTTTAAACGTTATTGCAGATATCAGTTTGATGCTTTTTATTATGTAATGTATAATAATAAGTTTTTATAAAAAATATTTTGATAAAACATTTTTCAATTAATAATTTATTGATTGATTTCTAAACAGCATTCCACGTTTTTTCAAACAAATTAAACATTAATAATACTACATTATTAATATTTAATCATGTATTTAAAAAAGGTCAAAAATAAAAAAAAAAGAATAAAAAATTAAAAAATCTTGAACATGGTTTTAACACGCTTCGCCCACTGAAAGGGTTAATTTAATCACCTTATTATATTGACCCTTTCAAAGGTTTTAATTTTTTCATTTATTTTGGATAGATTTTATAACTAATCGGCTTGATATTTTTGTCAACAGTGTCGGATCTGGACAACTTCATGTTTAAATGTTTAAATTTTTACGGGGGGGGGGGGGAATTTGTACGGGTAAACCAAATTTGTGGTAGTGTGGCTGACGACAATTTTTTGCTACAACGTTCAAATTTTGGTCGATTTTACACATAGAACGGTCTTTTTCTGACTTTTATTAAAAAACTGCTCACAAAGGCTGGGCCAGCTCAGTCCCTAAATCCGCCACTTTGGTAAATAATGGTTTGGGGGACGGCAAAGAGCAGAGTTACAATTTTATAAATAATACAAAATATTATATATTATATTATACAAAATACAAAATGAAAGAGGGCAATTTTAGAAAAATTTTTAAATTGAAAAACTGATAGATTAACAATGGTGCCAATGATAATAATAATAACTTTATTGACAATTTTTTGCAACAATGTTTAGATAAATTTTATGAAATCATCAACTCAACTTATAACACGTACCTACCAACATCACGATCAGAGCATCAGATCCTCCATTCATCGGCCCATTTATCAAATAACTATTTTGCCAAAAAAAATGTATTCATGAGATCAGGATCTACCCTCAAAGCCGCAGCGATCACCAAATACACCAATAAACTAATCATGAACTTCAACTCAAAAACTTTCACTAATAGTAAGCGTGGAAGCAAAGCCATGTGGGACCGTGTCAAAAAGATTAGAAGCACTGACAAATCATTCAACACGTCAACCTCACAGCAAATTGATGCTAACACACTCAACACCCATTTTCCTACCATGTCAAATGACTCATCCTACAAAACTCCACCAATAAAAACAACAACAATCAATAGTTGTCAACATCAACAATTTACCCCATACTCCGTCGTGCACATGCTATCGAAGGCCTGTCCATCCATTACAGGTCCAGACTGTCTACCATCATGGTTTCTACAAATCATCGCTCCATACATCTTCAGCACCTTAAGTTCACTCTACAATCACTGCTTAATGCATTCATGCATCCCATCACAATGGAAATCCAGCACAATTCATCCAATTCTAAAACAAAATACTCATCATCACCAATAGATTGTCGCCCAGTATCTATACTTTCACGTATTCTAGAAAAATTCATTGTTAGGTCATTCATCTATCCATGTTTCAACCATCCATCCATCAAACCACTATTACAAGATCAGTTTGCATTTCGCCCTACAGGTTCATCTACATCCGCCATCATCTCTCTTACTTCCGCAATAATATCTTTTCTTAAAAATAATAATTATGCTCATCTTAATGCTCTCGACTTTTCTAAAGCTTTTGACACTCTCAATCACTTCTCACTTTCAAATAAGTTAGCCTCTCTTCCTTTTACCGACAACCACGTCATCCATCCTCTACCACACCACCAGTTAAAACTACAAACACACAAACTTCGTCAGCGCAAACATAACTATCAAGTGGCCACCCAATCTACATATCAGGAAAAGACTTTCATCACAAAACACCTCAAACATATTAACACTCAATAAAACTTTATCATTCACACAACTAATTCTTATTTAATAAAACTTTATCATTTACACGACTAGTTTTTATTTATCGATCAACTCACCATTTTACTAAGTCTAGTCTATCTGCGTTATTTGCGTTTTTATGCCATTACTTCATTTTATTGTCAATTTATATTATTTTCTTATATTTATTTTATTATTTATATTTATTTTATTTTATTTTTCATGTTTAATCATTTTTCTTTCTCTGTTTGTTTTATTCATTTATTTTTTTAATTTTGTACTACTACCTTGCATGCTGTAACAGTTTCTGCATCTGTCAGATTTTGATTTTTTAAAAATAATAATGATAAAAAAGATATCCTTAAGTGTTATTTGTGCTTTATATTTTCTCAGTGCTCAACGCGAACGTAATAAAATCGGTCAATTTATTACTGTCACATCGTTATGTGGAATGAGAAAAAAGTTTTGAAAATTGTTCACAGTTATATTGTTATTATAAATGAGAAAAATAAAGATCTCCGGTGGCAAGGATTAATATTATTTGTACGCCACTAAACGTAATTCTGAACAGAATGTTTTTCATGTAGAACGGGAGCTTAAAAATTTGATACCAACATATCGATCTTGGAATAAGAAAAATTCAGCATAATTTTGAGGGTCATCGAAGTTGCCCTGAATATGTATGATAGTTAATATTATGGAAATTTGCCTACCAACTGCTATAACCTCAACTATCAATTTGTTTTCTTAGAGTTTATTAAAATTTGAATTACCCAACGAATTACTTAAATTTTTTGTTTATCAAAATGTGGTTAAAAATTAAATAAATTTATAACTTAAATTTATGTTTGAAAACTGATAAGATAAAAAACTTGGTTGAAAATTATTGTCTCAATTTTGTTCTCGCCAATTTGTTTTTCACTAAACTAATCATCGTTATCATTAAAATTTTGCAGTCTTGATTCAAACTTTTAAATATTGTAATCAGGGCCGTAGCAATAGCCCATGGAATGTTCGCATCAATGAAGGAAATATGGAAAAGTGGAAATATATCTACAAAAACAAAGTTGAGAATGATAGAATCTTGCGTTTTTCTGAGCTTGCTCTATGCATGTGAAACATTGACAATAAAAAAAAAGAGTCAAAGACAGACTGGAAGCATTTAAGATGAAGTGTTACCAAAATTTGTTGGAAATCAGTTGGAGGTAAAGAACGAAACCATCAGAAATCAACTTGGAAGACAGAAAAGTGTATGACAAAGTCAGAGAAAGAAAATTGAGATTTTTTGGACATGTAGAATGAAGGAAGACAAATTGATTAAGATGGTACTAATGAGAAAAAGAGATTGGAAGAGAAAAGTTGATAGACCTGCAAAGAAATGGATAGACGACATTACTGAAAGGACTGGTTTTGGTATTCTGAATTCAATAAAACTGGCAAAGATAGAAAAGATTTTTGGAAAGGAAAAAAAAGTTATATAAAAAGCATGCTTAGATGTACACCATCGGTCTCGACGGTCCCCTGATGGACAAACGAGGATCATTGATTGATTGATTGAAGCAGGACCATAGCCAGGGGAGGAAGCAGAGTGCCCGAGAAGGCCGGTTTGTTCACCCTAAAATTTTATAAAAAAAATTTGTAATGTTTTTTAATCTTAAATAATTTTAAAATGAAAAAATAAATTTTATTTAAACTAGATTTACTATGAAATTTTGCGCTTGTAATGATTTTTTCATAAATTTCAAATTTGTTGAGATTTTTCTATTAAAATTTTCTTTTTCGGAAACGTATTTTTTACGATTTGCGAACGTTTTGCGTTTTGTCTTCTGTCTTACTTACTAAAGTATATAAAATGTATCGCTTAGTATTAAAAAGAAATCGTGAATGTAAAGCGAATTCTACATTTTGCGAAAGCCAGCCAGCTGATCGTGGATGCGACGTAAGAACAAATTTGGCTTTTCTGGTATCGGCAGGCAAATAAAAGTTGTTAATATTGACAACCTAGCAAAAAAAGGTGAACCAATCAAACAAAACAAACAAATAATAGTCAAAACAAATTTTTCAGGTCAGAATGGTTTCATCATTTCAGGTGGTATTATCCCGCATCTTACGCTGCATTTTGTTTACCCATGTCGTCAGTTTGTTTCATTTTCTAAAGAGGAGACATACCTATACAAAAAAAGGGTTTCAAAATTGGAAAGCTGCATAAGATAAATCAAAAGCTGGGTTTTACAATCATGCTATATCTGAAACTCACAGTCTATGTCATTTGGTCTGAATGAAATATTAGAGTTGATTGTAATAAATCTATTTCAACTTTAGTCAATTGCAATGCTTTAAAAAAATAGATATTATATTTTGAGTGTTTTTGAAGTTATTAGATTTAATGCTGTTAGTGAGCTGCCTATGAAAGGTATATACTGCAAATTATTTTTCATAATTATTATTAACAATTATTATCAATGTAAGTGATATTTGGCAGAAAATTTGCCCCCTCCACTCAAACAAACCTGGCTACGGGTCTTAATGTAATTGACTTTTATATTTTACTTTTTAAAACTGTGCCTAATGCCTTATAAGAGAAGCATCTATATTACAGTATAATGTGCCTTCATGGGTTTCGATCTTTCAATTATCAAATTGAAAAAATCCCCCAAGCGAGGTTCGTAATTTTTAACAATTCTTTGTTAGAATTGAAAACAAATTAATGATACAAAACCTAATCAAATTAACTTATAAATGAAATAATGATAAACAATCAATTAACTTATGAATGAAATAATGATATGATATATAATAAAGTATAAATGAAATAATGACACCCAGTTTCATTTTACTCACTCATCACACACCTTGTTGGCAATGGCTGAAACAAATGGTCCTTGCTCTGTATGAAAAGTAAGGGGGATGTCAAAGAAGCGTGAGAGCTCAGGTTAGCATGCGCCAACGAATTCATTGCGTTGCTAGAAAGCGAAACTGCACTTGAAGTTGAAAGCTGACGATGAGATAAATTGATGTTATTTTTACTGTCATTGTTTGAGATCATGTATTGATTGATTGGTGTCCCACATGATGAAGCTTGCTGATCAAGTTGTCTGATTCTGCTGTTCTGTTGTTGCTGCTGGCAATTGTTGCATTGTTCTATGAGATGCGGCAGTAAATGTTGGTAGCTGAAGCATGTTGTGTCCATTAACAAAGGTGCCTCACTTTTACAAAAACTATACCTGTGGTGAGAATATGTATTTGTTATTTATTTTATAAATAATTAAATAACTTATGTAATAACAACTTAGTAAAGGTTCAATATCATTAGAACTGGTAATCATGTGTCTTGAATCAAAAGTTTGAACTAACGCATATACCTACGACTACAATATTGATCAATGATGCCATTTTTTGATTGAGCACATTTAATATTATTTCCAAATAATATATATAGTTCAATAATAAAAGATATATATAACTTTTTTTATTATCATTAATTCATTCCATTTTTTCTTTTTTAAATATATTAGGCATTACGCAAATAAAATAATTTAATACTATTAAACGAACCCTAAATATTGGTCCAACTCTACAAATTTGCTTAGGTCAGATTCGTCGCTCATTTGGAAGTCCATGCTTCTAAATAGCTTTTAATTTCACTTGTTTGAGATTAAATTAATTTTCATGAGTTGCAAATGTTTGATGCTTAAAGAATATAATAATAAATATATAAAAAATACGAGTTAACAACATTAAACATTAAGAAATAATATATCAATGCAAGCAAAGTGGAATTTGATGCAAACAATGACTCGCCTATAAGGACATGACTGTTTGCTTTTTATAATTAATAAAATTTTGTATAAACTTTTATTAACATATATGCGGGTATATACATCCATACATACATACATATATACATACAGACATACATACATATAGCTATAGACACACACACACACACACATATATATATATATATATATATATATATATACTACATATGCTTGAATATTTAATATAATATAGAAGTATGCATGCATAAAATATATAAATAAATATATATATACATACACCTATACATGCCTATATGGCATATATATATATATATATATATATATATATATATATATATATAAACATATGAATAAGAATGCAATAAATAAATACACACCTATATAAACACAAACATATATAGTAAATATTGAGAACTGCACTCATTATTCATTAATAAAGTTGTCTCTTCTATTATTTACACGCTGATTTCGCTGTCACGTTCTTGTTCAATCGCGCAAGTTCTGACTTTCTTACCTAAGAGTAAATGTTGGTTGTAATTTTAATGCTGGTCATTAATTTTTATCTTCACAATCTTTAAAATGATTAAAAATATTTTAAAGAAAATTAACAGGTGACAAATTTCTTTTCTAATCAAACAAATTATTTTTCTAATCTTAAACCAAAAATAATATAAAGATTTTCACTTGGTAAAAACATTTATTGCTTTTCTAACTACATTGAAATGTTCTTGACAAAAGTTATGCTAGTGCGATTTGAAGCAAAATTAATTTTATTTGCTATGGTTTTGTTTATCATTTATTTGAACAATCAATGATATATTCATTGATAAAACTAACAATTAAACAAAAAACATCTAAAGAAAAGTTAGTGTACGAGACCACCAGCGATGTAACGACACCAATCAGTGTTAGAACAACAATAACATTGTTCTTCCATCCAATACTTCATGATTTATATTTCGAATTTGTCATTCTTCGTACATGTTGTAATTTATTTTAAACAATTTCAACATAACGGTTGAACCGGTCTCGGCTAGGAAAATTGTGATTACGGTGCCTAAGTTGTGTGTTAATATTAAAGTATGATTTATCAACATTATCAACGTGGGCAGAAGATATTTATTTCTATCCTAAATTAATAGGAAAATGAAAAGTTTTTTCGTAGGTATTTACTGGATCGCGTAGTTATATTTACGGTTTTTTACTCTGAAGTTTGGTAATTATTAAAAAATATCACTTCATTTTCAACGTTGATAGATTTCTTGTTCGGTTTTTCAATATATATATATATATATATTTATTTATTTATTTATCTATATTATATATATATATATATTTATTTATCTATCTATATTATATATATATATATATATATACATATGCAGTAATTTATGAAATCTACCGAATTTCTAGCTTTGCATAGTTTTTTATTATATTTTTCAATATTTCAAACAAATTCTTGTCGTCATTATTTACTTTATTAAAGTTAGAATACAGTTTTCCAATTCGTTCTCGAGTGTATAGGACCTGTTTCGATTTTTCAATCATCTTAAGCACTTGTTGCAGTTTTTATTGGGAATTCGTAAAACACAGGCCATTGTACTTCTTTATTAGTTAATATGATTTTTTTTTATTTCAACTAAAAAAGAAGAACAAAGGCCTGTGTTATACAAATTCCCAATATATATATATATATATATATATATATATATATATGATTAAGATTCAGAAATGCAATTATTGATGAAAATTACAGCATGTTCGGCGTTAGTTAAGTTCCAATTTTACTCACGGGCGAATATGAACCATAATATGTATACGTTACAGTCAAAACGCATAAGACTAACAAACCTCTACGACCAATAATCAGCCAAAGACCTGCAATCACTTACCCTATTCCAAAAATTTTCAACAAAATAATTACATACTACAACCCTAACAGCTATAACCTAAAATCAATTTGAGTCTACAACAAAACCATCCATTAACACCCAAATAGCATCTTTGGATGTTGAGTCACACTTTACAAAAACAGCATAATAATAGATAGAATATACAATTCCACTCATTTACCACTACCAATTCCAAAAGATAAATTAGCTGCGCCGTTAAGAGTATGTACAGCCGAAGCGCCTTTTGTTGGCCCGGGTAACACACTATATCAGCAAATAGACGGTGTAGCAATTGGCTTTCCATTGGAAGTAAAAACTTCTCTTAACAACTTTTCTTAACAAACTTCTCTGTTGGACATATCGAAAAAATGTTATTTAAAGAAGAACTAGAGCTAAAACCTAATATATACCACCGATAAGTTGACGATATATTTGTTACATATGAAGATGATGATCAAATAGTAAGATTTCTACAAAGATTAAACTCGTCAAAATTATAGTTTACAATGGAAAAATCAACTGACAATAAACTACCATTACTAGACGTACTAATGCAAAATGTGCAAAATGAATTTAAAACCTCAGTCTACACCAAAGCAACAAACAAAGGTTTATGCCTCAATGGCAATAGTGAATGTTGTCAAACATATCTAGAGAGCACGATTTCTGCCTTTGTAAACCGAGCCTATACGCACTCTTCGGATATAGAATAATGAATATAAAAATTTAATGATCCAGAAAATAACAGAACGCAAAGAACAAAAAATCAACAACAATGCAACCAACAATAGTAACAAAAATAACATTGTAATATATTATAAAAATCACATTTCAACTGCTTTCGAACAGAATGAAAAATCATGAAAAGAATCATAAAAAAATAACGTCCAAGCAATGCACGAAAACGATAGTATTAAACTACGAATTTTCAACATCGTTAAATATAATATTTTACGTGGTTTCATTGTCGATAAATATAACACTTTTATGTGTTTTCATTATCAATAAATATAAAACTTTTACGTGTTTCATTATTGATGATTCCTCTGTTTCTAAATTTATTGGTAGAAAAAATTACAATTGCCCGTTGTTGAATATTTATTATCGGATGTCTTTGTTCTATGAGTAATGTTTCGACTAGCCGTAAATTATAATTGTTGTTATTGTAATGTTAGATTTCAACATTATGGTCCTAGATTTGTCTAGTAATTTTAGTTTTGTGTTTTTTTTTCATTTGATTCTTTATAGTGCCAGTCTGGACACAGCCACAACATATCAATTTAAACACCGAAGATGGTATATGAATACCGAAAAAAGATTTTCTGTTTTATCATGCATAGAATAAACAAAAATTTTGGTTTTGAATTGAAAAAGAAACTTGAAAATGATTTACTATCAACCTTTAGGAAAATCGAAAAGTTAAATTGGAAGTTAACTAACGCCGAAAATGCTATGGTTTTCATCAATAATTGTATTTCTGACAGTTTTAATCCAATATATGTATTATTATTATTATTATTGGGTAGATTTATATAGCGCCTTTTCATCAAATCTCAAAGGCGCTGAAACAAATCACAAGGAAACAACAACCAACGCGATCATTCCGCAAACAGAAACGTTTTAAGTTCCCTCCTGAAGGATAAAATTGAATGCCCCGAAGCACGTAGTTCCAAAGGCAGGCTATTCCATACAGATGGCCCAACAACTGAAAAATTTCTTGAACCTGTAACAAGATTTGTTGAGGCCACACAAAGTAAGTCACGATCATTAGAACGTAACTTGTATGAATTCCATGACGTGCAGTGCATCTATCAATTAGATAGCCAGGTGCAATACCATTCAAGCATTTAAACATAAGCATTGTAATTTTAAAAGTAATACGTATTTTAACAAACTGCCAGTGTAAGTCTCTCTAAATGGGGCTGACATGATCAGACCTAGAACGTCCAAAAACAAGTTTAGCAGCTCTATTCTGAATGGACTGCAACATCTGAATAACTTTTTGTGACAGCCCATAAAATAGGCCATTACAATAATCCACTTTAGAATGTATAAAAGCATGGACCAAACAACTCAGTGTATGAACATCAAGTGAATTCTAGACAACTTCTGTTTTACTGATTTCAACAACCTTAGTTGACTTGAACAGTCTCTAGCAAGACGCTTAATATGTGGCTCCATAGACATATTTGGGTCAAATAGCATAGCCAGATTACTAGCACTCATATAAAAATCAATACGTATCTCTTCAAAAAATAAACGCTTAATATCAATTCTAGACAACTGCTGCCATGTGCCAATGGGCAAAATTTGTGTTTTGCTATTATTTAATTTTAAGCGATTAGATGACATCCATTTACTAACAACTAACAAGCTAAGAACAAGGTTATCCAACAACTCAGCAAAACCAGAATAAGAAAAACTAGCTAATATTTGGACATCATCAGCAAACCATGCCTATTAACAACTTCAGAAAGATCAGACACATACAACAAGAACAGCAACAGACCCAACACAAATCCCTGAGGAACACAAAACGACAATCTTTAACCATCAGATACTTCACCACTAAACAAAAATTGCTGAGTGCGATCACACAAGTAATATTTCAACCAAGAAAGAATGATACCCGAAAAACCAAATAAATGCTGTAATTTATCAATTAAAATCACATGATGGACACAATCAAAAGCCGCACTCGTGTCAAGCAGAACAAGGAACGAAATTTTTTGCTCATCAATTGCCATAAACAATTCTGAAGCCAAATTGATGAGTGCAGTTTCAGTCAAATGGAATCGCCGATAACCAGATTGGCAGGACGGAAGAAGACCATTAACAGACAAATAGCAAACCAACTGCTTGTTGACAATTCTCTCAATAATTTTAGTCAAAAACGGGAGGTTAGAGACCGGGCGATAGTTAGCCAGTGTGTTTTTATTAGGGCTA